AGGAGTATAACATTGGCATGTCCTTCACTTATTTCAAAAATGATATGATTCTTTTACTATGCACCAAGTTATTTTCTATCTCTCAAAGGATATCTCTTTTCATTTGATGAAGCTTCACTTTCTTTCACTCCAAGGTTTCTTGTAAGCTTCTTCTCTCTTAAAACTTTTTTCTTCACATTTAAAGATTGGTACTTCTTATCATCATCATTATCATTATCTTCAACATCCTCATTGTCTTCATTATTGGTTCTAACAATTGTAGGTATACTAAGGTCTACCTTTTTTGGTTTTTTCATCTTGATTTGAATTTCCACCATCATCAATGTCATCATCTTCTTCTTCTTTTTTTGCTAAAATTGAAGATATGTCCACAAACTTATTATTACTCCCACTTAGATACATCTCCAAATATTCATAAGCATTCTTATACTCCAAAAATTCTACATCATGACTCTTAATGATCTTCTTGGTTTCTAAATACATTAGTCTAAATGCCTTGGTACCTTCATAATATCCAACAAATACATATTTTGTACCTTTTGTATGAAGTTTGGACTTCATACAATCTAGTATCTTTGCATAGGCAATGCATCTAAAAATCCTTATGTGTGAAACATAAGGTTTCTTGTCATTTCAAGCTTCTTGTAGAGTCATTGATATGAAAATACTTGTTAGGCACTTATTCCTTGTATTTACTATATTTACTATTTCTTCTTCCTAATATTCATGTCCAAGATTTTGTGCATGAAACATACTCCTTACTATCTCCACAATGGTACAATTTATTCTTTCAGCAACTCTATTTTGTTAAGGAGTATAAAAAATAAAAGATTATCTTGCAGTGCCTTGAATCTTCAAAAATTCATCAAAATATTTTGACATATATTCACTTCTATTACCTGTGTGCAATAATTTGAGCTTGCACTCACATTATTTTTTTACAAGAGCCTTAAACTCCATAAAAATTAAAAAATATTTATTCTTGGCTTCAATAATGTAAATCCATACTTTATTTGAAAAATCATCAATAAATTTGACTAAGTACTTTTCTCTTTTAATTGATGGTATGTTCATTGGTCCACAAATATCAAAATACACAATCTCTAATAATTTTCTTATACGTGTTCCAATTCCTTTTGAAAATGAAGTCCTTTGTTGTTTGTCTTGTATACATCCTTCACAAGAAAGTGTCATGGCATTGTGGCTAAATTAACCAAGATCCAAGCCACTTACCATGGATTAGAGCTCTTTCATAATTTTGGCATTTAAATGACCAAGTCATTGATGCAAAATTTCAAACTTGTCTTAATCTTATAGAAAATCAATAAATACTGCTACTTCTACTTTGTTCATCTTCTTATAATTAATGAAGTAGAATTTGCCATTTTTAAGGCCTTTGGAAACATATTTTCTATCTAATGTCTTTACAAAATATCTATTCTTATCAAATTAAATCTTACAACCACGTGATATAAGTTTGTTCATTGAAAAGAGGTTTTTTTCATCTTGGGCATATATAAGACTTTCTTCAACATGATTCTCTTAATTTCTTTAACAATGGATCTAATTCCAATGGCTTGTACCAAGTTATTGTCTTCCAACCAAACTTTGCTTGCTATAATTTCTTCATAAGTATCAAATAAACATTTATATGATATCATGTCTTTAGTAGCATCCAATTCTATAATCTACTTAGACATAGTAGTCATCGAGGTTCCTTTACTTGCCATGAAAGTATAATCATCTCCATCAAAGTTATCACGAGCATTATTTACATTCTTCCTATCTCTTTTTTTGGCTATATAGTAATTTTTAATAAAGTGGCCTTATTTTCTATAAATATAGTAATTTTTTATGTTGCTTTTTAAATTATTATATTGATGAGAATAGCTAATCTTGCCTTATTTTGAAAATAAAATTGAATCATCACTTTTAAGTTCATTTTCTTTTATCTTGGTCACTTCATAGATAAACATTGATGTGATATAATTTATGATAAGCTCTTTTATATTGATAGTTTCCAATGCTACAATAACATAGTTGTAGGACTTAGAAAGGCTCATGAGCAATGTCAACATAATGTCCTTATTATCAATTGACTTATCAATAACTACTAATTGGTTTGTAAGAACTTTTACCTTATTGACATGAACTATGAGGTCATCTCCTTCTTCCATCTTTACTGTTAAGAACGTCTTCCTTGTCCATAGAATATTAATAAGGTTTCTACTCTTGTAGATCTTATAAAGAATCTTCCATGCTTCTACTTGTCTATTGTAAGCAATTACATGTGAAAAATTGGCATCATCCAAATTTGATGCAATCATATTAAAAGCCTTTCTTTCATGATATTTATACTCCTTCACCTTGTTATCAACACCATCACTTGGAGGTTCTTCACTTTCATCCATAATGTCCCAAAGATCCAATGAAGCTAACAAAAGCTTCAATCACTCTCAAATCCTCACCTTCACTTGAAGCCATGTCTAAAAAAGGGATGTGTCAAAGAAGATAAAAAAAATAAATAAAAGAAAGAGCTTTTAAAATTAATAAGAAGATATTCTTGCTTTAAAAATCCAGAATGCCCTCATTGTGAATAAATTATTAATATCACTCTTTAATCATTCTCAACTTCTTTTATAAGACTTCTCACAAATCTTATATTCTATCTAAATCTCTTGTATAAGCTTTGCTACTCCTCAATCACCTCTCTTCTCTCATGAAATACTTCTAACCTCACAAAATACTTCTTATCACTATAAAAAGATCTCAAGGAAATTTTATCACATAAAACCTCAATGTTAAAGCACAAATGATGTAAATTAGCAAAGAAACATAATATTAGTGTTTTAAAACATCATTCTAAGATAACTAATAACCTCCAAGATTATCAATGTACTTAACAACAAGAACAAAATTACATCAATAAGTAGATACAACAATGGAATAAAATAATACCAAATCCTAACATTAGCAACAAACAAAAGTTTTACTCCTCATAACAAGTAAGATTTCAAAGAACTTCAAAGCTCACAACTAAAGGTGAGTGGGTCCATAACCTATTGAAGAATAAGCACTATGAAGTTACAACACTTAGCATTAGTAAGGTTGTATACAAAGAGAGTATGAAATAAGATGTCTCTCACTTCCAAAACCTAATACTTATAGATAGTGGTTGTTGTCCTAGAAGACAACTTCCACTCTTTGATTTTTACACACTTGGTCCTAGGATCCTTAAATATGTAACTTATCTTGAGAATATCCTATGGTCCTAGGATCCTTTGGCATCTTACTAACCATGAGGGTATTTTATGCCAAATACTAATTACTCTTACTTAGTCTTTGAATATTCCTTAATTCATACTTTATTCTCTTGATTTTGACTCTTGGTCCTCGACCTCATCCTATATCCATAGAATACCCCTTTTAACCACCAAAAATCAATCTTTTGATCATTAAGTAATTTATCTAAAATAATATCTTCTATAAAATAATTTATTCTATTTTTATTTTTATTAAGTTACTTTACTATTATATATATGTATATTCTAAAAAAAACAAATTAAATCTAAAAAAAAATAAAGATCGTCATTGTTGGATATTGTACCAACACCAAGGCATATTGGGTCTAAAATTTATAGTAATAAAAGATGATGATAAATTATAATGTGATCTTCAACAAACTGTCATTCTTTGAATAATGTATCCTTGAAAAATTCTTAAGGCTCTTCTTGATCTAATAATCTTTGACTAAATCACAATCATATGTGAACAAGATTTAATCCTTATCTTTAGATCTAATGAAGCTACAATACTCCAAGCTCAACCACCAAGATCAATTTACCACATGTCACTCTATTGCTTCCATCAACATGCCCTTCTCGAATCCATACTATACCAACATACTTACAAAACTATGCAATTCTCAATATATTTTTTAATCTTGCCTCAAGTCAATATATTCCAAATGATTCTAATATTTATAAAGAAACACTTACAAGTCCAAAAGCAATTAAATGGAAGAAAGCTATAGAGATGGAATACAAATTAGTCTTGAAAAATGAAGCTTCGTGGCTTGTCTCTCTACCTCCAAATCAAAAATTGATGTGTTTTAAGTGGATTTACAGCATTAAGATACATTCCAATGGATTTGTTGTAAAGTTTAAAACATGACTTATTGCAAAGAAGTATACGCAAAAATTCAAGGTTAAATATGACCAAACATTTAGCCTTGTGATAAAATATTAGTTGATTCTAATGAAGCTTACTATCGCAACTTAATAATGCATGTCAATCATTCAATTTGGTATACAATTAGTATTCTTATATGATTCACTTGACACAGAGATTTACATGCAGCAATCATAGGGATTCAAAATCATGATGCAAAATAACTTGCAAAAAGTATGTTTCTTGCTCAAGAGCTTATACAACCTAAAACAGTTGGAGTGGATCTAGAATTAGATATTTCATAAACTCTTCATGAAATTTGATCTTGAAATAATATAAGCAAATCATTGCATTTATAATTTGAAGTCAAAACCACAATGTGAGTTATTCAATTGATTCACTTATATATTTAGTAAAAATAATATATTTATGGTACTTTTAATCACAACTTTAAGAAGTTAATGTGGGAATTTTGAGATAAATAGCAATTAATAGAATGTTAGTGGCTAAAATGAGTTTCTTGTAGATTTTTTAAAGAATGAATTCTAAAATATATAGTCTCTCCTTAATTTAGCTAATATAAATATTTGATTTTATAGTAGTAGTTTTTTTGTCATTTAAATATTTAAATTAGGTTAGAAGTAGAGGTGGAATCGTTGATTCAAAACATCCAACTAGAAAAAAGAAACAAAAAGAAAAGAAGGAAGAGAAGGAAAGAGAAGAAAAAGAAAAAAGAAGATCCCTTACCTTCCCGGATTTTCCGGAGGTGAAGGCGGATCCCAGTTTTTCGAGAAGAAGCTGTCGAGGTCCGGTAAAGTGCGCCTCGGACCTCATATTTTTCTCTCTCTTCTATTTTGTGGTATGTTTGGATAGAGCTCCACCAATTTCGGTGTTTTGCGGTCTGAGGATTTTTGTTGTTCTTCTAGCTTTATAGTTGTCATTGGTTGTTGAGAGCGGATTTGCTCTTGTAGCAGTGTTGTGTTCTATTCTAAGCTCCGGAGAATAAGCTCCGTTGCAGCTGGTTTTTGTTTTATTTTAGCGTTGGTGCTCTCTAACTGGGTGCTGTGGTGATGTGGCAAGTTCTACTCAGCGGTGCTTCTCTCTTCTTCGTTTTTTTCCCGTACTGTTGCAGAGCTTTGCACTTAGGCAGAATTTGTGAGTTTTTTCTTTTTCCATACGATTGAGGGTGCGGCGATTGTATTTGACACTGCACCTTGTTGCTATTTTTATCTTTTTTTTTTTTTGGCGGACGGCAAGCTCGGTTCGGCGCTATGGTGCTGCTTCATTCCTGGTTCTTACAACAACACGTGATTAGGTGTGCGTATTATTCCTGAGCCTCGGACATCACAGTTGCAGGACTAGACTTCTCTTTCCCTCCGGTTGGATTTGGACTGCGGCCTCCTACAGCTTCTCGTTTTGGACTTGCAACTGGAAGCTTGAATTGTTGTAGGGCTATTCGTGGTTGATTGCCTCGCTGAATTTTTTTTGGAGATCTTAATTATTCGATGAGCAAAGTAGAGGGTACTGGCTGAATTTACGATGGCGCTAGTGCAAGAGTCGGTATTGTGGCGCAGAAGCTTATATTGATTCCAGGGGACTTCTGATATGGATCGGAGAGCGGCCAAGGAGTTTGTGTTGGTTCATTCTATTATGAGCTCAACAAGAGTTCTTGTCCTTATGCGTAGATTGCTTCGATTGGCGATGCGTCGCATTTGATCGAAGTTCTTTGAGTAGAAATCCGTTGAAGTAGCATCAGCGTTCGTATTTAAATTCAACTTCATTGGAGTTTTGGTTGCTTGTTTAGTTCACCGAAGGAGTGCGTTTTTGGCGCTTGAAGTGGTATTTATCATTGTGGTAGGCTTCGTTGAAGGATCCACTTGGCTGTCATCATTGATTTTTGTATAGTGGAAACTTGATAGATTCACATTGTGTTCAAGGTGACGGAGGCGTGATTATCTGGCTGATTATCATTGCTTTGAGGTGGGAGAGTTGTGAAGTTTGGTGAAGGCAATCTTCTAGTTCCAACCTGATTTACATCTTCTCGGTATTCATGGCTGGTCAGACCGTTCTTGCGCGACAATTGTCTGATTCTATTGCGGTGGTTGAACACGTCTGTGCGTGCAGGTCTACTGTCATTAGAGTTTTTGGAGTCGCAAGAGTGATCAGAGCCACATGGACAGCAGAACTGTGGATCGAGTAAAGAATTGTTTTATTGCTCATATGTACGGTAGATGCTTGCAATTGAAGGCTCCTGGGACTTGACGTGGTTACGTCCAGTCAAGTAGAATTGATACAAGTTGTCATCTAGGGTTGGTCCCACTAGGGCAAGAAATTCACCAACTCTTGGAAGATTTCTTCTCAGTGATCACTCATTGATCACTGCGACAATTAGCAAAGCATAACACATTTGAATGGGAAAACATCCACGATCAGACATCCATAGCTTCCAATAGCTTGAAGGTTGAGCAATGTCATCTATTTAAGTGCCTGAATAGCTGAATCTCTCAGCAACCGCAAGGAGGTTAAACGACTTGCCACCGATCCGTAGTCTAGATCCACAGATTAGAGTTTGTTAATTGAACCTAAGAGGCCTTGCTGCGGTTCGAGAGTGGGGTGCTAGGAGCCTAGCGGGGATCAGAAGTCGTTGTGGAGGAGAAAATCTTGAGGATTACAGCAGTCATTGCCGTGGAGCGGGAAAACCCGTTGCAAGCCACATCACCTTCCTCTCAATAAGAGTTTCAAGGAAGCTTAGTAAGGAGGATGAATTAGGATCAGGGTTGAATTATGATAGTTGAATGAAATTTTTAATTGAATGATAAATTATGGATGAGAATTAATTGAATTTGGATGATTTCTCATTCAAGGATGAAAATTCATTCATGAATGAAAAATTGTTATAGATGAAGGTTTAAATTTGGATAAATTTTTATTAGACAAAAATATTTTTAATTTTTTTTTTTTTTTTTTAAATCCCTTACGTGAATGTGGCTTTTGTATTGTTGTATGGCTTATATTGTAGATTGTGATTACTTGAGTGTGAATTTAATTTGTTTAGGTGGTTAAATTCTCTTAATAAGAAGTCAAAAGAATTTTTATTTAATTACTCATAAGTTAATTAGCAGTTGTGAATTAGATGAAATCATCTACTAAATTATTTTATTTTATTTCAGGATTAGAATATTATTAAATTTCTTAGACATTAAATCAAATGCAAATCAACAATTATTAAAATATTTAGATTATTAAATTATTGTGAATTAGAATAGACTTCCAACCAGTGGGGATTTATTTTAGCTCACACGTGGCTTATTGTGACTTTCTTTGTAGATGACAGCTTTGACACTTGCTCTTCAATGGCCTGATTGAAAGACCTTGTGCACTACACAAAACAACACTTAGTGTTTTACTTGCTCAAATATCCACCTCAACATCAAGCTTCACATTCTTCATCTTTAAACCAATGGACACATTTTTATCCATCTAGCAATTTACTTCCAACAAATATTGAGCTGCTTTGATTTCAATGAATGCACTCCAATGAATATACCTAGCAATCCCAACACTAAAATCAACAATGATGGAGATTCCTTCCCACCATTGTTTCTTTATCCCAATGTTGTGGGGTGCTTCTTATATGTACAAATCCTCAACTATCCTTATATTAGCTATGTAGTCAATACTATAGCACAGTTCTTAGCAAGCTTACAATACCAACACTACCAAGCTTTAGTACAAATTTTTTATTACCTCACAAGTATTCTCTACCTTGCATTGTGTTTCAATAGCACAGCCAAGACAATATTGCTTGAAAGATATGGAGATGCATACTATGCTAGAAATTTCACAAATCAAAAGTCTTATACAAGTATGTTGCTCTTGCTCAACCTACTAGTATAACAAAAAGAAAAATTGTGTCTCTTCCTCTACTACCAAATCTGAGTATGTGGCAACATGTTCCATTACAAAGGATATTATTTGGCATTATTAGCTCTTTACAAACTTGCATTACTAGCAAAGCCAAGCCATGCACATCCTCTACAATAATCAAAGTATAATTTGGCTTATTCACAATCCTAAATTCTACCAATAAACAAAGCACATTGACATAGTTTATCATTCAATATGTAAGCACTAACAATTGGATGATATCAACATTTAGTATGTCAATACTATAACATAGTTGACAAATCTGCTTACAAAAGTATTGTCTTTTGATTGCTTCTCCTTACTTCATGATTATATTGGATTGCTTTAAAAGCCAAGCATCAAGACTATCTATTAAGCAATAATTTTTTTGATATTACAACCCTCTAGCATTGGAAGCTAGTGGTTTAAAGGAGGATGTTGAAAAACAACCTTTTTGATCAAATAAGCTAATATTTACTCGCATGCCTATAGTACAGCCATGCACTTCTAATACAAAACTAAATTAAATTTAAGACAAATGATAATTTAATTAAATACTACTAAATAGAAAAGATGAATCATTAAATCAACTCATTGATTATTTTAGAACAAAAAGATGCATTAAGAGTGTCAAATTGCAATTATTAGGTGAAAATTAGTTTAGATAACTCTAGATGAAAGAAAATTAGTATTAGTGTGTGAGCATAAATAATGAATCAATAGTTGATTTAATATTAATCCTTATTACTTTTATTATCTATTATTAGTCATAATAATTATTTAATTTAAATTATGTTAATAATGATGTCATAAGTAAGTTAAAATAATACATGAATAAATTAAATTCAATCCAAATTGCCATACTTCTAATCTTCATAAGTATTACAAATTCTTATGAACTAAGGCATGTGAGTAATCAATCCTTATTGGAAAATATGTTTTAAACACAATGAAAAGTTAGTTTGGCCAAAAATTCAATTCTAGGGCTCATTCAATGGCCATCAGCCTTAATCTCGGATTTTGACCCTTGAATCAATGAGGGCCATAGATTTTAGTTTGGACTCCTTGGGATTCATGGGTGGAGATGTGGCTGCCACCCTTAGGTCTTAAGACCAAGATGCAAGAAGCCTCACGGGCTCATTTGGCCTCCCTCCTCCCTTTTGTGGCAAAGCTATGCCAAACAATTCTCTATCTTAATCAAATTTACTTAGCTTTAGTTTTTCCTTGATTTCTCTTTGGATACTTAGAGTTAGAATCTGAAATTTTTAAGATAGATAGATCTTCTTGTTGCACATCTAAAGACACTAAACACGCTTGAAGCTGGTCAAGGACAAGATAGCAGCAGCAGTTTCAGTGTAAGAGAGTCTGCTGCTAGGCGAAATTGGAGCACCCTCTTTGAAGGACGATACCGGGCGAACCAGGGCAGTTTTGAAGCTGAATTTTTTGGAGGTGTTAGATCTTCAAGTTAGCTTCTTAGAAAGTCTAAGCATACTTGAAGCTAGTCAAGGACAACACAACAGCGGCAGTTTTAGTGTAAAGGGGTCTACTGCCAACAAAAATAGAACACCAACTTTGAGGTAAGATTTCTCCTAGCTCACTTAGTTTTTTTGAATTGAATTTTATTGGTTAAAAGGGGTCCTTAAGTCTAGTTTCTAGAAAGCTAAGGCTTGATCTAAGGCAGTTTATAATAAGGAGGTGGTGATGAATTTTGTGCAAGGGAGTCACTGCCAAGATGTGGGAAGTGAAGGCTATTAATTTTTTTTAATTTTAGGATGTATTTTAGATGAACTAATACAATTAAATAAATGATTTTTATGGATGGGAATTGGATGAAAAAATCATTAATTCAAAGTGGATGAATTTAGGTTAAGTGGATGATGTTAGATTATGGATGAATTCTCATTTATAGATGAAAATGCATATATGGATAAAAACTCATTCATGGATGAATTTGTTTTAATAAATGAATTTTGATAAATTTTTGAAAAATAAAATACAATAATAATATTAAAAAAAATCTTAAATGTATGAATTTATTTTGATTAATATTACAAGTATAAATATTATTGAATATTCTTATTGATTAAAAGGTTATTTAAGGGATTAAATAGTAAATTGATAAGCCTTAAGGATTAATTATAATTATTTAAAAATATTAGGTAATTTAATTGTTATGAATTAGAATAGACTTCCATCTAATAAGAATTTATTTTAATTCATAAGATGCACGATATTTAATGCGCCATGCACATTCACAAAAAGACATGTGTATTATTTAGATCTTTTATTTATTGAAAATATTAAAAAAAAAAAAAAAAAAAAAAAACATTTTTAAGGTTGGATGTGTAGATTGAATATGTTTTGAGTATCTTTTCACTTTATTCTCAACAAATTTAAGAGACTCTCCAACAAAACATTGGTCTAATCACTCATTGTCTATAGACAATAAAAGGTATGTCTCATCGATGGACATTTTAAAAGTAGAACATTTAAGCACATTCCATCTTTTCCAAGTTCCCATGTTCTTTTGTTCTCATATTCCTTGGTTCCTATGTTCCCTTATTCCCATGTTCCCACAATCCCTTGTTCCTACGTTTCTTGATTCCCATATTCCATAATTCCCAAGTTCCCTTTATTCCTTGTGTTTCTTTCTTTGTGTTTCTTTCTTTGTGTTTCTTTCTTCACAACTAATCAAACGGCCTCTTTGTCTCTTTGTATTATATCCAAGTTGTCTTATATAATAGATGGATATAACTAGTAAATTAATTTATCAAAATAAATTTTTATAGGTTCTTAAAAAGAAATCATCTTTTTATTTTAATTATTTTTTAAAAGTTCTTTTATGATTTAAAAGGTATTTTGTCTTTGTATATTTGATAAACTTGTTTCAAGGATATATATATATATATATATATATATATTTAATATTGAGCTATTTAACAATACTCTTTTAGTCATTTTATAAAGCAAGAAATATTTTAAATTTTTATGAAATATCTATGTGTAATATAAATACAATGACAAATAAGCCTAAAATATTTTATTTTATTTTATTTTTTCGTAATATAAGTATATCAATCCTATTAGTGCTCTTTAATTTGTATTTATTCATGAAAGTGTCCAAATAATAAAAACTAATTGTAAAAGCAATAATTTTTTATAATTTTTATCTTATAATTTTACTAATTATTAACTAATAGTAATGGTTGTCAAATAATGTAATAATTGATATTTATTATAAATTAAGTCATACCAATTTAAATTTATATTTATATTTTAGTAAAAATTTATAAATAACTTATGTATGTATAAATAGAGATGATTTAATTTTAAAACTCATAATTAGATGACATATAGTTTATCTATTTTTAGATTATTTTTATCATTAAAATGGTACATAATTTTATTATAAAAATAAAAATTATATTCCTTATATGATCCTATATGTATTGTAATTTTTTCTTTTTCTTTTTTTGACTATAGGGATAAAAAAATCCCAAGCAAGTTTTACAAGCAAGATTCAAATTGCCAACCTTTTTAGAACAAATTCAAAACTCTTAGGTTCAACCTACCATTATTCAATAGTTTAGAGTCATTGTGGACCATTTATACATTGTAATTCGATTTTTAAAATTAAATTGTAAAATATAGTTGTCAAATCAATTTAACATCAAATGCACAAAAATAACAATCACTTACATTTGATGATAAAATAAAACATGTTTATATATCACTTTAATAAATAATTATTTTTGTCAAATCAATTACTTATTACACCTACTTTTAAAATCATAACAGCAAAAAGTTAAATATTATTTTCTGTATTAACTTCATTACACTATTCAATCCTTGATTTTTTGGAATAAATAACTTTTACATACAATACAATTTATTTGGGACTCATTCATATGCCAATTATTTTTACTACCTAATTTTAACTACTCTTAACATCTAATTATTAATAATTTAGGTTCTAATTTACATGAGTCAAAAGTTTATCTTAATTAAGAAATGTAGATTTGTAGAAATTATTAAATCTATAATCTATAAATAATTTAAATAAAACATATTTCGTTAAATTTTAAAAACTAGATCTTGCAAGTGTTTAACTTCAAATTTCAACAAATTAATAACTTAAACCTTGTAATTAACCAAATTATGTAAAAATGACAATAGTAGGACTCATTATGTTCTTATTCTGTAGGGTTCATAATCGACCCAGTTAAGCTCTGAATACTCTCCTCAAACCTTCTCAAATTAGGGTTCACAAACGTCTTGATTGATAAGTTTAAGGCAATAGCCCGAGAAGTAGGATATTTGTTATACACAGGCAGGAACAAAGATGCTGGCCAACCAGTGATCATTGCAGAAAAAATATTCGATGATCACAAAATGTGTCCTCAATCCGCTATCTAAGTTTCTAATTTAAGCAAATGCCGCCTTTCAGTCAGAGCTAGATGCTGAGTTGCACAACCTCAACTTCTCTACTCACTTCCCCACTTAAGCCCATTCTCTCCCACAAAATTGTGAATTTCAAACTATGTTGCAGAAAATGTGAATGAAAATGTGGAAAATGTCGTCAAAATTGAGCCCTAATAACTTTAGATGTATTTCTCAATGACAGGCAAACTAAAAACAATCAAGACCTGTAGATTACAGTGCACTAGAATGTAGTGCCTAGGATTGAACTTTCTTTCGGTGGGTCACACACATGCGTGTTGTTTCGTCATAGTCCCACAGCCCTGCAGCAATTTGTCGTTTCAGTTTCCTTTCCCTGCCACTCACCCAGTTGTTGTGCAACACCCTGCACCCTTGTTGCTCACAGGATTTCCTTACGTCCCTCTGTTCCCAATGATTCCCCGAAGCGCCGTTTGGATACGTTCTTCTGTCTAAGAAAATTGCTGTGACGTTGGTGTCAGGCTCCACGCATTTATCGTCCCCTACTCGGTATACGCCATCCAAGCCGCACATTGTATCGTAGAAGCTGGGCTGCTCTGACATGTTGGAGGTCATTGCATGTTTCACTATCTTGACAAATGCTGCAACTGTAGCCCTGTCAGACCACGCAAAATAGAATCCTGAATTCAAGCGCCGGGGCAAGTTGGCTGCCTCTGCAAAATTTGTAACCACCACAGATTAAGGAGACGTATGTAACAAAACAAAGAGTCGAACTTACACAAAGTTGGTACAAAATTAAATCCTAAATTGCCAACAAAGGAGGTTCGTATAGCAAGTGAAGTGAACCGGAGCCTACCAGTCTCATTGTATTGATCGGTCTGCGCTACAAGAGTGCCAGGCCCATAGGCCATCATTTCCTGGATTGGATTCTGCTCCAGCATAGCAATACAATAGTAAGAGAGGAGCTCATACAAATCTCGATATTATCGAAGGGTAATCACTAACTATATATTTAGTAACAACTTCTCACCCAAGCCCGAGATAGTGCTAGCTGACAAGAAAAAATAAATACAAACTTATATGATGATGTTCAAATTCACGACGAATTGAAGCTGAAATACATACAAGATATAATTTCTCTGAAGTCACTGATCTCTATTTTTACATTCACGAAATAATAATAATGGTGACGATGATGGTTTTAAGATTTTGAAAATATACAGAACAAATAGCTTGCTCTCATGCCTTTCACAATTAAAGGAGTCGCCTAACATGCACAAATATTTCAAACTCAACCCTTTGCAACTCTAAATACTACTGTAACCAAAATTCTAATACACACATACATTACGAGTCACTACATTTTGCTCAGTTGTCAACGTGTCTTGTTTCTGAATAGGTGAATACGTCAAGCTAGACAATGAATCATCAACATAAAGAGCAAAGACTGACCTGGAACCAATAGACATCGACATCGCTGAATAGGACTTTAAATCCAAGTTGCAAAAGGTGTAGAACTGTGCGGGACTTCATCTTCGTAACTTCTTGGAAACACTTCGTCCCAAAGTGGCAGTCGTCGCGGCTGACACGCATGGTCTGTGATGATTTCACCACAGGCACACCCTGCCGTCCTCCCACCACTTAAAATCAGGCAAACAACATAATAAAGCCCCTGAATTTATCGTTCCCCTTCAACAGCTTGTTACACAAAGCAAGCGAGTCGTACAAAGTTAATAAGCCGAACACAACACGAATATATCTTTGTCTCCGATACTAGCAAGTTCCAATAAATGCAATTACTTTAAACAGAAAAAGAAGAGCACACTAGGAAACATACCATCTACAAAAATTCAATCCTTCATATTACCTGGCTCACTGCATGTTGGTAAAGCTCGTCATCCAGGGCATATACAAGGTAGTTTGAGATGTTGAGACGTCGTAGACTACAAACCCAACTCATAAGCATAGTCCTGTAGCTGTCTCCAGCAACTGACAGAATAATAACCTTGTCGGGACTGGCTACTCTTGAAGCCAGTGCTTCCAGAGAGAATGGCAGCCAAAGCTCAGAAACTTTTATGGACTTCTTTGTCAATCGAGGGCAGCGAACATACTCGTTTGTTAATGATGCTATGGTTTTGCAATCCAGAGCTTGAACTCCTCTATCAGAAGAACTTCGTCCAAACCATTGTGAAAATTTGAACCAATCTGTCAAAGAATCCCAATCACTAAAAATAATTTAGCCCTCAACCCCGGTCAGAGAATCATCGCCAAATTGACATTCATATCATCGTCCAAAAGCACAGTAGCTTCACCGCATTTCGAAAGAACTGGTTCGGAAACGTTACATCATAGCTTACCACGGCTTGCCTGCGGGTCAACTTTCTGAGCCAGTCTGAGTTTCCTATTGTGTGGCTTGCAGGCCTCAAGTAGATCTGTTCTATTGTAGAGACACAAACCACGCCGGAGCTTTTCCCCGCATTTGATCAACTTCACGGTTACATTTGACAAATCAGCTGGTCTATAATACAAAGACCCGTACTGCATAGCCAGGACACGATTCCCTGCCACATCCCATGGTCTCCCAAGAGCACCATCACCTGCAACAAAGCGTCCGACTTGCTGGGTCAGTAAAAAGAGTGCAACATAGGCACTCTGAAGAAAATTATGGAGCCATAATGCATCAATAATCTGCTTAAATGCAACTACAAAGGAATTCCTGCGAACACTTCAAAGGAAATTAATATAGAAAAGGGTTACACGAGATCTAGATAGTAAAGAAGATGTTATGCTGCAACCGCTTCACTGACGGAACCGGTTTAATACCTAACAAAATTCTAATGCTTCATCCATTCGTAACAAGTATGATACAGCCTTTCGAACGACCAAATACTAAAACAAGGTTAGCTAGGTGGTAGTTGTACGATTGCAGAACTAGGATTAGCAAAGATATAGTTCACGTATTTCTCTGCTAATAGTCAGCGCACGTCCATACCATTGTAAATCCGGCTTGCGACGTGCTGAGGAGCAACGAGTGTGATGACATCACTTCCGTCAATAACGGTGCGATACTTGGAAACTAGGGCTTCCGTCAAAAGCCACTCACTGTGATGACCACTTCCGTAAACAAAAGGTGGAATTACTCCTGCGTGCAACTGGGCATCAGCTTTGTTCCATGCCCAGAGCCCTGGACCATAGCAGTCGCCGCTAGAGCCCTTTTGTCTCACGATCTTCCGCACCTGTAGCACAATTAAAACGCATGAAAATTCGTACCAAGCTTATCCATCCCGTGCAAAAGGATTTCAAAACAAATCATCAAAAATCCAAAAATTCGATAGATGCAACTCGAGACGGCCTTAAGTGCGTGTCCCCACCTCATCGGGCTCGACGTACAATCCATCGCTATGTAACCACGACCCTGAGGAGCCTTGCAATTCAAACGGAAATATGGTTGTGTGTATAGGCTTCACGACAAGCAGCCAATTGCTGTCTACTGCCCTCACTTTTGTGATCGCGGCGGTGAAATCGTTTAGAAGAACCAGGTTAGGGTCTATAAGCACGACAATTTCTGAACTTGAAGCCTGTACTCGTCCAATCATGCTGTGAAACATAGGATTTCCCATAAACCTGCTTGAAACAAACCCAGCTCATTAGGATCATGAGTTGGCTGCAATTCCATTTTCGTACGTGGCAGCTCTTTCTCTCCTTCTTAGGTGAAGTACATACAATAAAATGGGATGCTGAAAAGGGATAGTTAATGTACGTGATATCAATGTCCGAATCCACGGTGACATAGGGTTGTAAAGTCTCCGCGAAAGTCTTGAGCGAAGGATGTCGTCCCATGAGAACCACGTCCGGGCGTAAATCTAGATGCAGCCAAGAGTGAATAGCCAACTTCTGCCGCATTCCCTCAGCTCCATCAAAAGGAGCTGGTGCAGTGTAAAACGTAATGGCAATCCTTTTCGTCTCACTCTCAGGCGGCAGCATTGCCAATGAGCGTTCTGTAGGTTTTCACAAGTCAGACCTTCCGTGTGAAGCCTATCGTAGAAACGACAGACCAATGCACTATGATATCCCAATTCACAATTTCCCAAACCGCGCTCGACCAACAACATGTTCATTTTCAAAATGACACCACATTCCATCCAATTCGTTTATCTTTCCAAAAGATCCACCGCCTGCACTCACTAACAACATTCTCTGCGGAAAAAACTAGGCGAATCCAAACCCTAAGCTTTTAAAGATCCACCTGGAAGCTCAACTTCAACAATCTTGTCACTCTCCCGGCCCGCGGGCAGAAGCTGCGTGGCACGCATTGAGATGACCAGAAGAAGCAGAGCCGCCGTGCTCAGCAAAGCCTGCATCACCTGCGCATTCACCTCCATTGCGGAATTTCCAACCCCTTCACCGCAATTCCACTTCCCACCCACCCCAACACAATTCAATTCAATCACCACACGCCTATATCACTTCTCCAACGCGATCTGTCCTCTTCCTTACCCCAAAACCCTCTTTCCGCCATTAGTTTCCCTGCGTGACAATGATTCCCCTCTACCCCGCCCTCCCTCTTCTTCTTCTTCACAATCTCCCCCTTCTCCATCCCTTGCTCAACGCTGCAGCTATGCGCTTCTTCGCCCCATCCATATCCCACCGCCGCACCCAACCTCGATGCTCCACCAAACCCTTCGCCTCGTAGCTCCCCGGATGGCTCTCTCCATACGCAGCCGAATCAGCCTCCTACAATCGCAGCTTCCTGGAGAGGATGGTAGTCAATCCCAGTCAAGCGCGGCGATACCATTTGCGAAGTGAGGGAGGGTCCTCTTCTCCTCGTCCTCCTCCTCCGTGTCCAAGTGGGGAAGATGGTAAAATAGTGAGTTGGGGTCACTACTAGTGACTCCATCCCACGTCCCCCTCGCTCTTCTTCCCAGTTGCGTCTTTACACTCTCTCTCATGTGGCTTGTGGTGGGGGCCATGTAGTTCATTCATCCATCCCTTTGCCCTCGTCCTCCGTTTGGATGGATGAAATTTATTGTTCATCTTCTTCGAAATAATATTTTCTAAGTCCCCCCTCCGTAAAAAGAAAAAGTATATTAAAGAATTGTGATGTTTGATAAAATGCATAATTTGTAATTAAGTGAAAAGAAAAGAAAAAGAAAATAAAAGAAAATAAAAAGTGATGTAGGAAAAAATAATTGTTGTGCATACACAGTATTAGCTCGATCATGATTTTCTGAATTAATGTTTCAATTTTTCATAAATATGTAAATTGATTAAGATGAAAGACAAAATATGAAAACATGATAATTTATGTAAAGCACTTTGAATAATTATATAAAAGCTCAAGATTATTTATATATATAGAGAGAGAGAGAGGATTACATATAAAAACTGTTAGCTTATATTCATTTTTAGCACATATTGAATGCATGATCACATATTAAGATGTAATACGATGGAATGTAAAATAATACTAATGATAATAATATTAAAACAACGAAAACAAAAATTTTGGTTATGATAAAGCACCAAGAGTTCAGACAAGCATTGCATTATGTCAACATATGCATCACTGTGGACAGATGTGGATTGTAATCGTTAGTTTATGGAAAATATAAAAAATATAACTCAACAAACATATTTACTTGACAAGTTCAAATGTGTTGTAGGCATTGTAAAAATCAAATAAAAAATCGATGAAAAATTATGAAAATTTGGGTAAAGAGCAGGTTGTTCTATTAGATATAAAGCTCCTCACTGTATTTATTTCTTTGTAAACCAATCGGGAAATGGCTTTATCATGCGAGTAACTTTTTATGCTGCCATTTGAGGCACACTCCCACAGCAACCAACAATGACAAAATACTTTTTTTTCCCTCTATTCAGGACCCCATCCAAGCGTGTCTAAATGAGAGTGAATATCCCACCCTACTACGCCATCTCAGCAAATCCACACTGTTGTGCTTATGAATCTGATGCCAGCCCCTGACACCATCTAAGATTTTGTTTTGTATATATTTCTGCTTTCCTATGGAGGCGTTCCTTACGAGGCTGTGCCAATGAAGCCCAATTATGGGTGACGGCGCGAGATTTGACTTGTCCGCCGCACAGAAAACCTCCGACTTCAATGTAAAGGGGTCGGGGTCGGGGGTTGGGGTGTGGGGGGAGGCTGGGAGCGTCGCGGGGAACGCTAGGGGAATGCGCTCCCCACCCCATTGCCAAATTGCAGGTTGCGTATGTTACGAGTCGGCCATTGGATGAACGGATGAAACTGACGGGATACGATCGTTCGTATGTTTGTTCGTTGAAATCTGCTGACCCGGCCCGGCGGCGACCCGACCCGGCCCGGCGGCGACCCGACCCGGGACAGAAAGAGCCTACGGCCCAGGCGCGTTTAACCGAACACAGGCGGCGGGCATCCGAAGGATGGCGTCTGAATATAGACCGTGACAACGACCCAGCCGTGGAGCCCCACGCTCGCGTGTGCGCGCACGCCCGCCCGCTGGTTGCCGCGGGCAGGCGCTTCTCTTTTGTCAACTTCTTTTTCATGATGATGATGATGATGATGATGATGCTGCTACTGCTGCTGGTCTGCGAACGAGGCATAACTAAGTTTCGTGGTTTGGCGTTGTTGAGTTTTGGGTGTGCCCCTTCGGTAGCCGAATCTCGAGCGCGTCTTACTGACGCATCACGAGAGTTTGGTCGTGTTCCGGATCGTGCATGTGAGATTTGCTGCTGCTGCTGCTGCTGCTGCCAGTTGTGTGTGACTTAGAGGGTTGTGGGTTTTGTTTTTCTGGGTTGGGTATATATATATATATATATATATCTATATAATTTTTTTCTTCCTGTATGCGTGGCGGTAGGGAGGTGATGCGTGGGTTGTGTTAGGGTATGAGTAGTCGCGTAAGAGAGAGAATAGGTTTTGCTGTTTAGGTCTTGCCTGGGTGAAAAGGTTCTCAATGAGGTTGAGATTTCTGCGCACTGTAGGGATGGAGCGTCGGGGTGTGGGGAGTTCTTGCGTGTAGGTTATCGGGGTCAAGCGTTTGCCTGTGAGTGGCGATTTTTTAATTTTGTTCACAAGGTTATTTTGGAGTTAGGAAATTAGTTTGTTGTGATGTGTGTGTATGCGCCAGTTTTATGTGATCAGTTACGGTTCTGACGAAGGTGTTACGTGTTGTTAATGTTCTCGTTGTGCAGGATGAGTTATACGGAGGAGGACACCGCGGGCAGGCCCAAGCTGAGTCTTCAACCCCGTGGATCTGCTTCTGATATTGCTTCATCTTCTCCAGCCAAGTCAAGCCGAGTGAGTTTGACTTCTTTCTGTGGATCTGGAATTTATTTTGAGTCTGCTATAGGCAGATCTGTGCCGTGAAGCGCAGCTTCGGAAGTTTCCAATCCCTTTGAAATGTGGTTACGGGCTATTACATGGTTATAACAGCAGTTCCAATGCGGCATTGCAAAGCGAGAGTCTGATCAATAGCAGTTACACTTACTTTTATTCTTATTCAACGTCTTTAGGGCTTGATCTTTCTGTGTTAAATAGGTTTTCGGAGGGTGTTTTTGCGGTCCAAACAATAGGCTTTATTTGCGAGTTATCTGTCCCCTTCTTATGTCCCATCTTCTCGTTGGCAATCATTGCACTCGCAGAAAGATTGATCCTCATACCCTATCTGTGTCTCTTATTTTTGTCCTATTGTTACCTCTTGTTGGTATCGTTCTCCCTCTAACACTGGCCTTGGTACATGAGGTTTTATTTGCTTTTTCTTGTCTAAGCATTGTTTGGAACGTGGTAATTTTTTTTGCAGCCTAACCCCTTTGGTGCTGCAAGACCAAGAGAACAAGTCATCGCTGAAAGAACTGGAAAAAAGGAACAAGAGATCTTGAAGGAACAAGCTGCAAAGGAATGGAAGAAAAATGTGAGCACTACTATTACTCCGTTAAACTTATTTTCTCTTCAAATTGTCTTATCTGGCCTACTTCATCATATTCCGGATTAGAATATGGGTATTTTAAAATAGTTTGGCTCTAAATTATAATTCTTGAATGTAGGTTTATTAGTTTTAGAAACAGTGAGAAGTAGTTGGTTTGAGTTGTTAGTCTTCCATGTTTTGGGGTCACTGAATCGCTGGTCGCTTATTTTCCTTCTTATTTGTGGACAGATTGTTCTCACCGAACAACAACGCGAGGAGAAGAAAGCTGCAGAAGCAGAGTTATCATTTGCTAGAAGTGAACTTGTCAAAGAGGTGGATCCAACAAAATCTAAAGCGCTTCGAGAGGAGGTCAACCTTATGGAAAAAAAACTTGACGAGTTATTGGCATCATTCGAGGTATGCATGAAGAGATCCGAAGAACCATTCATCATTGCACTAGTTTTAGATGTGAATTGCCAACTTCTTTTGTGCCCATGCATGTTCTCAGAGATCGTGATGAGATTCTTAGGTCAGTCATGGCAATAGACAGATTATAGCTCTAGCATGAAAGATTAGTATTACTCAAGTCAGTCTCCGAATGTTGCTCACCACTTTCCAAGATGCTTTTACCGTTGCAAATTGTTACTTAAATACAGCGGTGCTTGTGCGGTATATGTTTTTCTTTTTCAATGTACCATGTTTCTTTCAGTAAACTTGTATCGTCGTAGTTGATGATGTCACGATTTTTCATTCTTATATTGAGCCCTGAACTTCCTGTCGGATACGTCGCCCATGTCAAATGTCTGTCTTCTACAGGAAATTGCTGTTCAAACTGCTCAATCTGGTGGATCAAGACGTCCTCGGCGTGAAGACGAGCGACCTCCTGCTGCTGTCGGTTCTGCCTATGGTAGTAGCGAGCCTGAAGGCTATTCTAATTTCAGCCGGAGTCGTGAACGTGACGGCATAAGAGGAAGCTCATACGGTGATACATGGGGTGGAGTCAAGGGTGGCAATAAGGGACAAGAAGGATGCTACAACTGTAGAGAGGTTAGTGTCTATTTTGATTGGGCTTTTTCTGCACAATTAAAAATCAAGATTTTTAATTACTTTATTACCTTTTTGACCTAATGCCAATTTTCACGTCCATGTGTGACATCGGCCAGGTTGGACATTTTTCTCGTGAATGCCCCAACCCAGTTGGCAGTCGGGGAGGTGCAGGAGCGTATGGTGGCAACTTTGGTGGCGGTGGCGGTGGCAGGCCATGCTACACATGTGGCCAAGAGGGACATATGGCTCGAGAGTGTCCCCAAGGTGCTAATGTAGGAGGATATGGCTCCCGTGGTGCTGGCGGTGGCAGCAGTTACGGTGGAGCATACGGTGGTGGTGGCTATGGAGGAGGTTATGGTGGTGGTGGCACTTATGACGATACTACACAGTATGGTGCTTCCCAAGGTGGCGGCTATGGCGCAGGAAGTTATGATGACCGTAGATACTCATCTGGTGGGCGCAGCGGAAATTACAACCAGAGCTGGTAGTATTTAGTGTGAATAGCAGTAGGGAGTTTCAGCCACTATGCATAGAGTTTTTTTAAAGAATGTGGAGGAAATGTGTAGCTGAGAGTTCTTCGACTGTTGTGGACTTCGATGTTTTGGCTGCATTTGCATTGCAAGCATGCTATGAGTAGTAGCGGTGGTGCACAAAATAGTCGTAATGATGAAAACACCATGAGTTTCTTATACCATTATTGTAAGCGAGTTTTAACAATTGCTGCATAAACTTGTGCGTTAGCAATTGCATAAACAGCTAGAAATATTTAACAGAATGGTTGGTCAGTGTCTTGTAATTTCCTACTGTAATGGAATTAGCCTGTTTTTGTTAAGCCTTTTCACACTGATTAAAGAATTCTAGTAAACAAAATTTATGGATGAGGAACATTCAATCTAATTCCCATAATTTCAAATAAACTGTCTGAATGCTTGAGAGGTCAACTACATACTTGTACACGATAACGTCCAGCAGAAGGCGATCAATATTATTATTTTCTCAAACGACATCAGAGAATTACGTGGGCTATTTCTAAGCGGGAATTCAACAGGCCCTTTGGTACACATGAAGAAATCTGATACGGGTGGGTAGTAGAATACTTATTAGGATCACCTGATGTTTTCAAAGCATACCTGACGCCTATTTAGCAAAATACCATACTTCAATATGCAGATGCTATTTATCAGTTGGAAGTTACATACATCTAACAGAACCTCGGATAAAGCAGTTCCTAACAGCAAGCTGTGTTAACAAGAGGAGGTTTAACAAGATAGTGCGTCGATGGGAAGCCCTCTCACCAGGACTAACATCAGCAGGAATCTGAACTCTACGCAGTGTGTAGTCAGCCAGAGAAAGGACCATGCAGATGGAGATATGCAAAATACAATTCAAAACAATCGCTGTACTGCACACCGTGCGAGTACGATTACTAACCCAGCATAATGAACATGCCATGTCCTCCAGTTGCTTCACAAAGAAAAAAACAACGTATCGCTTTTGCAAGGAGACACCATCTCAATCTCATTAAGCGTTGCAGCCGAGTATGAAATTTAAGGTTACAAGAGTGCAGCAGAACTAGGGAAATAAGAAATCAAGCATGTGAGGGGTATTTTGTGTCATCAACGACACACGTATTCTCAAACTTGATATTGAGGTACTGATGAACCAAATGCAGGATACCAGTGATGGCCAAGTGGATTTTCAACATTCTATGATCACCTCGTTTCCGACCAACTCCTCGGAATCCACAAACAAAAGCTGCATCAAATGTTCATGCAAAAACAATAAAAATCAAAACAGTAGTCAACCCTTGTGCCGATTGGACACTGAAACCCAAGTGCAAGCTTAAGAAAAGCGGAGAATTGAAGAGTGATCCGACGCTATGGTAGTGAGTGACCCGGATGCTAATTTACAAAGTAGGCGCCCAGGAGCTATGCTCTACGGCTCGGCAGTCCTGGGTAACGTTCATCTATGTGAGATGAAAACTACATTCTGTTCATCCGTGATTGAAGGTGGCTGGTGAAGATGTCTAATTTTTGGATTGCAACGAAGATAAATACTATTAGATTTCAATATATAGCTATTAATACATGTATGAATTTTAAAATAAAAGAAATGAGAAAAAATTAACGAATTTTTTTGTAGAACTGGAAAGAATAGGTAAGAAATTTTATATTTCTATCTTTCCAAAAATCTTATATAGTTACAACCTGTCTTAAATAAAATAAAATATCAATATCATAAATTTTATAAATATAAATATAAATAAAATAAAATTTTATAAATATAAATAAAATTTTAATTTATTTATTAAATATCAATATCATAAATTTATTTGTTTTATCTTCAGAAGATCAATCTAAAAAATCGTTCCACATGAGTGTGGTTTTGATTAGTAATACCCCTCTGATTTGTGATTATAGTTTTTGTCATTGTTGCGAATGAATTTATAAATCAAAGATGAAATACATCTGATATTGTAGACATTCTATATATTAATTCTTATTTCTACCCACATACCCGCATGTATATATATATATACCACAGTAGTTACTTAAATTTTATAGATATATCATTATTATTTATAATTCTGTTAACCATTTGGAACATTTTTACATGTAGAATCATTTCCTTGTGCAGATTTAAAGGCATTAGTTGATGAGTTTTAAAAATCAAGATTAAAATTTTAGTGTGAATTTGATAATAATACACATTACATTCATTCATTTAGAATAATCTACTTGGTTATTCAAAGAAACCTTTTCTTCCACATCCTATTTACAAACTCTTATTTAAATAGCAAAGGAGGTTTCTAAATAGTTCCAATGCTGGAGGATAATTTTTTCAATGTGTATGTGGGTAGAAATAAGAATTAATATATGAATTAACAAGATATCTAAATGAATGAACAATTATGCTCTAAATAAGTATATCGATAATTTATTTAAAATAATTTACTCGAACAATCAGGATTTTATTTTTACATTGAATTTAACATTATGTAACCAAAAAATATTAATCTCTCTTTGTGCATATGGAAAAAGTAAAATTATTAAAAGAATAAAAAGAAACAATAAAAAATAAAAAATTATAGATATGAAAAAGTTGATAATGTGTAAAAGAAATAAATATTTTAATTTATTTTTTGAGATTAACAAGATAGAGCATAAATTTTTCAAAATTTTATTTTTAGTTTAATTGTAAAATCATTTTAATAAAACAGAGTTCAAAAATAGTTACAAATTGACATAATTTTGTTCTAAAATCAAAATTTTCATTATTCTTTAAAATGTTTATTTTGTGAACTTTATTGCCATTCTATAGTTTTAACACTATAAATTATAAAAAAGAAAAATCATGCTTAGAAAATTATGAGTAAATTATCTCCTATGTATGTTTTACTAAATTGTAATGTGTATGTGCACATGCAGAAAAATCCAAAGTTTCTGTGCAAAAGTCATGCAGTCTTCAATATCTACTTGTGATCAAAATCCTTTGCTATAATATAGAATCTAAAACTTGAATGAGAAGCAACGCTTGCTCTCGTTCTCAGAGTCACCAACGTTCCCCACCCATGAAACCGTCCTAGTCAGCAACCGAAACGTTACTCCCATTCGCCACACCCATTACTCTTTCCACATGGCAGTAGGGGATTAGCGGAGCAAGAAATCTGCTGAGATGGACACCACTATCAACGTCAGCCACACAGTCACAGCAGCGCGGGGGGTTGAGAGGCTCTCGAGAATATCTCATCAAGCTTTACGCCTGGAATGGTTGCGCGGCCACCAGGCGGGGTGCAAATCGGGCCAGTGGTCCAATTGATCTTGAGACCGACCGCGTTCGTATGATACAATCTTACCCTGAGGTCCAGATTGTATCCATTGTTTTGTTCCGGTTACGGAGGATTCATTGTGGAGGTCTGGACCTGGAGAATTGAAATCAAACCAAGTGCTCTGAGAGAGAGAGAGAGAGAGAGAGAGCGAGAGAGAGGGGTATTGTGAGTTAGACCGGGAGCATGGCGGGGGTTATTTCGGCTGCGGTGCCGGCCATTGGAAGTGTGTGCGAGGTGCAGGTCAGCGTAGTGAAAGGACCAGGAGTCGATGGGAATTTGCGGAGCTCATTCGTGCCTGCATTTAGGCACAATTTCGCTAGGTCAGGGCGTGCAGGGACTGATGGCCTGAAGATAAGGAGTAATGGCGTGAGAGCGCAGGCTGTGAGTGTGGCGGAGGCGCCGAAAGTGTCGCAGGTGGTGCAGTGGCAAGAGAGCAAGCGCATTCAGACTCAGAGTGTAGTCATAGGCCCGGAAACCAAAACTATTCGCTCCTTGGATTGGGATCGCGATAGGTTTGACATGTGCGTAGCATTCCGTAAAGCCAAGGAAAATCATTTTGATGATTATCTTCTGATATGTGTCATAGATTTGCTGAACTCATGTGAACACTCACTAATTTGCTCTCACGAACGTTCGTCTGATCTTGGGATATCGACGCGAATAATTTTTAATATCGTTTCCCCGTGACAATTGTTGCAGTGAATTTGGCCTACAGAACGGAACCACATATAATTCCTATGTAATTGAAGGAAACAAGCTGGCGGTGGTTGACGCATCACACGAGAAGTTCCGGGAGTTGTACTTAGCAGCACTTAAAAATGAGATTGATCCAAGTACTATTGACTACATTGTATGCAACCACACCGAGCCTGATCACAGTGGACTAATTCCAGACCTCCTGGAGCTGGCGCCGAATGCCGTGGTGGTGGGCTCAAAAGTCTGCATCCAGTTCTTGCAAAATCTTGTCCTCAAACCTTTTAAGAGTTTGGTTGTCAAGGTACGTAATATTCTCATGCTTTTGAACTCTTTTTGTAGATAAGCCCAATTTTTTTTCGATAGTCGCTACTCCTTACGATCATTAGATTTTAAATTTTGTGTCATATGATGTGGGAGACAGGGAGGAGATACACTGGATCTTGGGGAAGGGCATGTTCTGGAGTTTGTTATTGCTCCCAATTTGCACTGGCCGGACACAATGTTCACTTTGGATCGCAAGTCCGGCATCATGTTTACTTGTGACGCTTTTGGCATGCACTACTGTTCCGAAGCCGTAAGAATCATCTCAGAACCATACAATCCTTTAAACTATCGGAGCTCTTAATTTGGCATGCTTGACTTCTCTGTAAGTTAATAAAAAAGAATCAACCGAGCTAGTTCATGGTTTAGTCTTCTAGTCTAACACAAAATTTCTTGGTTCAGGTTTTTGATGAGGATTTGGAGAAGCTTGAGCCACATTTTCGGTTCTACTATGATTGTCTCATGCGTCCTAACGCCCGCTCAGTACTATCAGCGCTGAAACGTGTTAGCGACAAGGAGTTTGGAATGATTGCAACGGGACACGGCCCCTTGTTGCGGTACAATGTCGCAGATCTGATGCTGAAATATGAGAATTGGAGCAAAGATGCTCAAGAAAAGAAGTTGACCTCAGTAGCCGTTCTTTACGTATCTGATTACGGTTACAGTGACCGTCTTTCACAGGTATAATCACCAGATCAATTTTCTGTTTTCCTCTTCTATCAAAATTTTAGGTGATCAACGACTGCATTATAGCTACAGGATATCATTGATTAGATATTTAATATTTCAGCTGCGTTTACAATCAAGTTTTATTCACTTGTATTCTTTGAATTGTTGCTATGGGTGATGATGGGAGAAGGCTCTTGCAAGAGGCTTGACGAAGACGAACACGCTTGTAGAGATGTTGGACATGAACTCTGCGGACTCTCAGGAACTGATAGAATGTGTAAGCAAATGCGCCGCAGTGGTCCTTATGGCGCCACCTAGTCAAGGTCCTGCAAATGCAGCGCTCTCAACATTGGTTCCGGCTGTCAAAGCCAAGCAAGTGAGTTTGTACTTCCTAGTTTGCCTATCTTTCCTCATCTGAAGCTACTAAGTTATTCAATTGTAACAAAGTGTAGGTTACTAGTATTTTCGAAAGGTTCTGAATGGGGAGCTCAAAATGTATGCGTGCAGCCCTTGTTGATAGCGGAGAGCTTTGGAGGAGATGATGAACCAGTGGATACCTTGTTGCAACGGTTCACGGGAGCTGGAGTTATTACAAATTTACCCCCGATTAGAATCAAGGACGTGCCCACAGAAGCAACGTAATGTGTTTGCACTTATAGTTAGATCCTGATCTGCAGTCTTTTTTTTTTTTTTTTTTTTTTTTTCGGGTTTTTTTTCGTGGCATCTGAAGCAGTTTGAATGTAATTAGAAGTCTTGTAAATGGTGTTTGATCCTGCTTCTTTTCGTGTGGTCAAGCACTTCAAATGTCATTGTATCTTCATCATGACAGTTGAAAAATGTTCTAATGTTGTTGCAGTTATCAGTTGTTGGAGGAGGCGGGCACTGATCTTGGCCAACAACTCACTCAGAAGAAAGTCATTGAAGCAAAGAAGCTGAACATGCCAGCGGATGTAGCTAAAGCAATTGCCCGAATTTCAGGCGGCCTCTATGTTGTCACTGCTCAAAAGGGTGTGTCCAGAAGTGCAATGATTGCATCCTGGGTTTCTCAGGTTAGTGTCAGCCCCGCTGTCTAACGTATGATCTGCAAATTCTTAGATTAAGTTAGGGTGAAAGTTCTCAAACCAAGGAGGAGATGGCACTTTGTGTTCTGATGATGTTTGACATCAACTTTCAGGCGAGTTTTAAACCTCTAGGTATCACCATCGCCGTTGCCAAAGACAGAGCCATAGAGTCACTCATGCAGGTTGGTGATACATTTGTCCTCAACTGCTTAGAAGAGGGCAAGTACGCTCCACTGATGAAACACTTCTTGAAACGGTTTCCCGCAGGAGGTAATCACGTCCTCTCTCAAAGTGCACTTAAACACTCGTTGTCGTGCATTTGTTCCACAAATCAAATTATCAAGTTTTCCAAAGTAGATGAGGTGTCTAATTCTGATGAGTAAATGCTTTGTTTACACTTTGCAGCTGATCGCTTTGAAGGAGTGGAGTGGACGGCTGGGGCAAATGGAAGTCCTATTTTGATCCAGGCTTTAGCATACATGGAATGTGTCGTAAAGAGCCGTCTCGAAGTCGCAGATCATTGGATTGTGTATGCCGAAGTTACAGATGGCAACGTCTCTAATCCCGATGGCAAAACCGCTGCACACCATCGCAAGATTGGGAACTACTATTGAGTTCTCTTTCTGTAGAGTGCTTAGTTCCACTTGAGTCTTTTATGTTACCTCTCCCCTGATCATGTGGGAGGTTGTATCAGAAATTTACTGCACTTGTACAAAAATGCTATCAAATTGACATGTAGTCACTTATAGATATTACTTCTATACAAATAAGTGTAATACTCGGTTTGGGTGAGTGTGAATTTGAAGAACACTTGAGCTCTAGAATCGGCGATCTCTACGTTGTCCATGTTGAGTAGGGCAACCAAAAGTGTGCCTTATCCTCCCCAGTGTAAAGATTATAAATATTTTAATACTCTTTCCTCGTTACATGGCAATCTACACTCCGAATTCACGAGGCCCACTAGTTTTTCAACCACCACCGCGTCTATGATCGATCTCATCCCACACACTGGTAGTTCATAGAAATTCACCGCTATCTCGGTGGGTGGAACCTTAGAAGCGTGCAGTGCCAAACAAATGACACCTGCAACATAAGAGTTTAACTGCCACCATTACCATTCCCCTTAACATTGGTCCTTTCTCACACTTCGGCATTGACAAATGTAAGTCAATCAGCTCCGAAAAGAGATATCTGCCCATCGAAAATGTTTGACAATTATGAAGCGTCAACGAGTAGATTTGATCAGGTCCCTGTTTGATGCTTTTTCCACAACAGATGCGGTGGTAAGTTAATACATTTGTGAGAGGTCGACGTGGCCTACACGAGCTCGGTGCAGTGAAGAGGCACTTTTGATTTTACGCACATATGTTGAAGATTCGTAGCACCGCATATCTTTCGAAAAGAGCCAGGACCAATAGACGATGAAATGCGGATATGAATCATATCGGGACAATGCACTTAAAAAAATTGACAATTCGAAGAAACCAGGAATCTGGTGACGTAGCCTCTCCTTGTGCCTCACGGAAGGTGTGCGGAGAGTTCACTACGAGGGGGAAGCTTTGGGCTATGGCGGTGGTCATTCCAGTGCTAGTCGATTCCGCACCTGAACCTTCCTTGCCTCAATTCACTTCTACCAGGCCTATTTTATGGCCAAGGAAGTTCAGGTGTGATACATGCTCGCATTGTTGGTGTTATCAATTAGTCGAATCGAGTGGTACCTGAATCAGCCGTGCAGGTGCGAGGTTTGAAGTGGGTGGTTAGTGACAGGATGGAGACGTTTTCAGTACTGGCAAAGGCGCCAACTGGGATCTCGTTCCAGCAAATTAGGGGTAGCTTGACGCAGAATGGAAATGTGACGAAGCCTGTCAATGTTGTGGTTCCGAAGTCGCTTGCAAAGGCGAGGCTCTCGTCTCAGTTTCATGGCACGAAGCTCAGGAATGTTGAATTTGTTCGAGGAGAATCCTGGACGAGGCGCACATGTGGAGTGGCTGTCGCTTTTGCCGGGGATGGCAAATCTTCACAAAAGAGCAACGATTTGGAGAGTCTCAAAGCTAGCCAGATCAAAAAAGTTCTCGATGCCGGAAAAGTGGACTATCGTGATTGTTTAGAGAAAGGGGAGTTGGTGAAGCGATTGAAGGATACCCAGGAATTCATTCCACCCTCCGCTCAACAGCTCCTGCAGTCGTATCTCCGTGGGGAGGACGATGCAGAGCTATCCGCTTCCTCGGTGGAAGTCGCAAATCCTGTGGAAGGTAGATAACAACCTTGGTTTCAGTTTTTGAATGTGAGGAGGTTCGCTTTGCAGCGCTTGATTTTCTTTGCTTTCTAGAAGAGTTAGACGAATTCTCTGACAGCGATGTGGTGTTCTTTCGATTGGCTCACAGGTTGGTGGTTAGAGGCAGAGCGCAACACAGTGAAAGTGTTCCAAGATTGCAGTCCCTCAGTGGCAAACATCACAACATCGTCCACTGCGAATATTGGCCTGTCGCTGAACCCGATCGAGATACCCCGAGGCACAGGAAGTGCGTTTGTTTGGGACACAGATGGGCACGTTGTTACAAACTATCATGTAGTCATGAATGGTAACAAGGCGAAGATTACTCTTGCGGATGCATCCACTTGGGAGGGGAAGGTCATAGGAGTGGCGAAGAACAAGGACCTTGCGGTATTGAAGATTAGTGCTCCAGCTAAGTCGCTGAAGCCCATTGTTGTCGGATCATCTCAGGTTGGTGTTCTCTCTATTAACCCCTTCATTACCTGTTGCCCACTGTCTTCCTGCAAATGTTTAGTTAGGATTTGCGGTTTCTTCTAATCACATTAGTGAGGTTAAGTATTGATATGCATTTCTGGATTGGTTTCACAGGCCTTGCAAGTCGGGCAGCACGTGTTAGCAATTGGAAATCCATTTGGTTTGGACAGGACTTTAACGAGCGGCATCATTTCCGGCGTTGGACGAGACATTAGATCAATTGGAGGTGCCACAATCAGGGGTGTCGTCCAAACTGATGCATCCATCAACCCTGGCAATTCAGGAGGTCCTCTCTTGGACAGCCAAGGGCGTTTGATTGGAGTGAATACAGCAATATATTCTCCTTCTGGTGCAAGTGCTGGAGTGGGATTCGCTATTCCTGTTGACACAGTACGAAGGGTGGTCAATGAACTGATAAGGAAAGGGAAAGTTTCTAGACCAGGCTTGGGCATTATGTGTGCGAACGATTCTCAAGCTAAGCAACTCGGAGTTAATGGCGTCTTGATTTTGGGAGTGAACGACAACGGTGCAGCAGCGAAGGCTGGCCTTCTTGGTGCGTTTCCTTTTCATGGTTTCTCAAATTTTAGGGTAAATTACGATCACCAAGCAAGATTGTTCAATGCATGCGCTGCCAGTTCATTGCTAACGCCGCCTTGGTTTGTGTTTCTACAGCTACGAAGCGAGATCTTTTTGGTCGAATTGAACTTGGAGACGTCATTGTGGCTATCAATGGCAATGTGCGTTGCATTCCGCACAACCTGATTTATCCTTTGAATGTCGTTTGGTGTCGGACTTTGTTTGCAGAGTTTTCATCATGTCAATGCGTTTTGTTTACTTGTTTATTTCCTCTTGGAATAGTTTAGCATTGCGTCTGACGGCCGTGCATCACACTGTGCAGACATTGAGCAGGGTGGATGATTTAGTAGCAGCTTGCGATGATCGCCAAATTGGAGAGAGAGTACGGGTAAGAAGTGCGATCCTATTCATTTTCGTTTGCCGCTTCCACTTATTTCTACTTGTGATTTTACTGCAGATCATCTCTTTGAACTTTTGTCCAGGGTGTATTAATTTTGATAACGTAACTTTTGACAGTGTTGACAATTTTTACTCGCAATTCTTAACAAAATTTGGTGGTGTCTGCAGGTCACTGTGAAAAGGGGGAACATGATTCGAGATGTTTACATCACGTTGCAAGAAATCGACGAATGATTGGTCTTTGTTAAATTTTATCAGTATTTCCGAAACACTTAGTCACCGAAGTTGGATTCAAGCTCACAACAAATCCAGATGAAATGTCAGAGAGTAGATCATTTCTTATGTAAACTGTAGGAATGCACATCATTCAGGTTGTGGCTGATGAGATCAAGTTCGGGTGGAGTTCGCCAGCATTGAACCCTGCCGTCAACGGGAAAAGAACTCTTGCCCTAGTTACAACTATTGAGGGGAATTGCGATATCCTCATCAAAAGTGGAAGACGGGTTGCTCAAACTTCCAGAAACCTCAGATAATAGATGAGAGGATCCAACTTGTTGGTGTTTTACCAACACGGGTTCTATCATCTGTGAATCGAGCAACAGTGAAATGGATTAATACACATATTCAGCTGTTATCAATTACACTGAGAATGCGTTGAAGAAAACTATTGCCCATTTGTAGCATGCATTTTCAATCCAAAACGGCCAACATACAAAATCTATTTCTGAATTGTACACAAAAGGATGTCGGGTGATTCTCCAATCCAGAGAACCTGATGTCTAACTGCAAATGCTGCGCAGCACATTGACACTCGAAAATGGCATTTTTATCATTATTCTGTGACATAACACACCATCAATACCTGTCCCATACTCGTACAATTTCTTCGAAGCTCCCTTGAAACCTGTGAACACGACAAACGAGTGCACCGTAAGTCCGCCGGTTACGAGGTCCCGATTATCTGAACATCTGGGTTGATATCCGATGCTGGAAGGAGACATGACTTTGGGTCATATTTAGATTCTTATCCAGCCCAATAGAGTCTCTCCCTCTTAGCGAGTTGCTTCATGAAGAATAGCCCCATTTACCATGCTCTCGTAATCCGCTGCGCTTCTCCGTATCGTTGCATTTTGTAGTTTCTGTGCGAGGATATGGTAGCAATGGCCACTGTCACGAAACCTTTGGCAGGAGCGGCCGTGGTGCCAGTGGCGAGGAGTGTTACATTGTCTGCTCAAGCAAGGAAATCATCTCAATTGTGGGTAGCGTCGCGGAGGTGCTTGCGACGGTTTAGGGCTGTAGTGAATGTGGAGAGCAGGGGGGCAAGAGTTGTCGTAAGAGCTTCCGCTGATGAAAATTTTGGCAGTGCTGCGGATGCAGGAGGCAATAGCATCGTGCTGGAGGTGGCAGCTCTACCAGAGGAGCCTCAGACGGAAGGAATTGGAAATGTAGCGACCACGACTTCCTCCTCCAGGAAGCCTTCGCCTCTGGCGCGGGGAGGAACGTTGGATGGAGCGCAGGCAGAAGGGAAGGCCCCAGCCGCTGCTACTCTTGGAAAGGTTTCCCCCTTGGTGTCATCGGGGAAGTTCGAGGATCCTAGGTGGAAGAATGGCACTTGGGACCTTTCCCAATTCACCACGGATGGCAAGACCGACTGGGACGCTATCATTGATGCTGGTATGCTCAATTCTCGCTTTGCTTGCGGCTCTTCTTTTTGGTTTCGTTGGATCGCTGAAACTCGAGTGTTATTCGGTGTGAGAATACTTAGTTTTAGAAATCCACTTTGCGTTGTAAAAGTCCTGTGAGAGGGTTGGAAGTTATCAGGTCTGCATTTGGTCTTTTGTAAGTACCTTGAAATGTGTACTGATCTGTGGCTATGGTAGTTCTCTTTGTGGTTCCGATGTATCATAGTCGCTTTTAATAGATGGAAAAGATAGGTTACATAGTTATTGTAATCAACAGCTCATCTTTCATCTCATCTGTGGGCAACTTTCTAAACTGCTGAGACTCTCTTGATGTGCGACTCTGATAGTCGAGACCTTGATGTAATTTGTTCTATTGTTTCTGGAGTGACGTGTTTCTAAGATAGGCCTTAATTTGTGAACTTTCGCCTCCACTCACAACGCAGAGTTGTGCAGTTTGAAACTGGAAGCGTTTTTTGTCATTTGCAATGGAGTTGTGGAATTTACCCCAACTGTCGAGCGTGGTCTGATTTGGATATAATGTGGTGGCTACATCCATGCAGAGGTGGTGAGGAGGAAGATTCTGGAAGCTAACCCCGAGTCATCAAGTAACGATGATGAGGTTGTATTCGATACGTCTATAGTTCCTTGGTGGGCGTGGGTGAAGCGCTTCCATCTTCCAGAGGCCGAGCTTTTGAATGGTATACCCCGGTGCCTAGCTTACGGTATTTTGAAGTTTGACCTTGGTGCCTAGCTTACGGTATTTTGAAGTTTGACCTTGGTGCCTTGCTAGGGTTTAGGTTTTGGCACCCACCTAACTTTGTGGAATGTTTCTTGACAGGTCGTGCTGCCATGATTGGATACGCTGCTGGCTGGTTGGTTGATGCTGCTACTGGAATTGGATTGGTTGACCAACAAAACAGTTTCGTTGGCAAGATTCTAATTTTTATCTCCGTGGTTGGAGTTTTGGCCATCAGGAAAAACAGTGATGTGGACAATCTTAGAACCCTTGCCCAGGAGTCTACTGACTACGACAAGCAATGGCAAGCAACCTGGAAGGATGCCAAGGATTCGGGGACATCCGGAGGTTTGTAGACGAGGTCTCTCAAATTTTGCACATATGTATTGTTTAGAATGTTCATTGTTTGTGCCATGCCTTGTTGTCACAAAAAACGGAAATAAAAAAGGTATTTTCAAGTTCCGAATATTTGGCAAAGTTTGTGCACTTGAAGTTCCATGCACTACTGGATTTTCCTCTCTGTGTACTCTCTAAGTTGTCATTGCTGTAGATTACTACATTTAAATAACTAGATGGATGTTCAACATTCTTCACATCTAATTTGGACACTCTCTGGCAAGACATTGAATTACATAATCTGCAGGGGTAGCTTGCAGAATGTTACTATAACGTACGGTTGACGGTGATGCAATGCCAAGATTGATTGACTTTTATACAGACGTACAAATTTTAAAACTAGACGAGCACTGCTTATTTCTTGTACGTTAGGAATCAGTCCTATCACTCTCAACAAAGTGGTCAGACATTCTAAGCTCTCTCTGCAATGTTGATCACATTTATGAGAGCTTTAAATCGAACTGACGAAAACTTTCTCCTATGGCAGAACCCTCGTAAGAAGTTGACACCCGAGGCTTTAGCTTCAATGGTACGCATGCGTTAAAGATTCTCGATGTTTAAGTGCATAGTGTAACAAACCATCTGAACAATATTTGCAAGCTCAATCCTAGCCAACCCAACGCATAGAATATCCTCAGCGATTTCATGAACACTGCCCAATGCCTGGTGGAAACGCCAAGAGTAGGCTGCACATGGGAGGAACGAAAATGCCAAATGTAGACGGCCAGTGACACCAAGAGCAATTTTACCAATATTCCCAGCTCTTACCAAGCAACGCTGCTCAAGGCGTTCCAACAAACCCTGCACCCGACCTTGTGAAGGTACGACCACACGGGGGCTGTATGTAGAGAATCTGCTGCAACTCTGAATTGCCTCGAATTCTTGTTCGCTGAAGAGAAATGGAAAACTATCTACAACCGTCGGCAGCTTTCATTAGATCACTTCATCATTGAACCTGACCTGAACTTGTTTGCTGAAACGATAATTGTCTGTCATCCAGTAGCCTCATATTAAGCTGCATCATTTAGGTGTAAAGATCGAAAAGATTGAAAAGCTGTACAACGATTATCCTGCAACAAGACAAGCTTGAGAATGTAACAATGCAATCCTCCAGCGTGGCTGGGTTGCTCCGTGGGAACGACCTGTGCATGCATGCATGCCTGCCTTCAAAAGCAAAATTCAGTTGAACATATTTGGGCAAACGATTTCCTGGTGATTTAGGCACCACCGTAGTGCTCAAGGTGTTCAAAGCTAGAGGGTATTACTCACCTCAATTACGAGACCCATTGAATGTTTGCGTCAATGCAAAACAGGAGTTTATGCGGTACTATTGCAGGAACCTAATCCTCTGCTCCAAAAGCCTTGTACTTTCAGGATACCAATTGCTTCGTGCAACTAGTTCACAGTAACATTTCCAACAATGTACTATGAAATAATCAAGTCAATTTACTCTATGTTGCTACGTTTAATCTACCAAAATTGATCAAATGGGGTACAGCAGCAGCGACTCTTTCCTCAAACTCTTCCTCACTCTGGCCAAGTTTCCACAATTTCGGCGCAGCGCGGGCATCAAGCCACTCTATGACTTCCCTCATCACTTTACGTATCACATCATCTGGTTCTCCCTGCATAATGCAATGCCAGGAATCGGGACACACTCGTAGCGTCTTGTCCTTAGATCTTGCCTTCTCGTGGAGCAGTCTGCTGATCGATAGATCCGTGACTCGGTCATCACCACCGTGCAGTACAAGCAATGGTAAAGAAACCTGCCGAAGTAAGGGGACGGTTAGTTATCTTAAACATAAATTAGATCCGGACTTCTCATGAATCAACCCCTTGAACAGCGGAAGCATTATTTTATAGAAACACTGGTTCTATTGAACAATAGAATGGATCTTACCTCATGCAACTTGCTCTCAATGTAGTCCGTAATCCGGAGCAATTGTACAGCAGTTCCAAGTCGCGGGTTTCCCGAGTATGAAATAGGATTCATATCAGCCTGCAAAATTGCCGCAAAGTTAAAATCATGAACGCTGTCAAAATATAGGGTAGTAATTGCTTGTTCTGATCCTCTCAGTAAAGTAATCGCGATAATAACCATGGAAGAAGTCATGACCCACCAAATGCCTTTTCTCCGGAACACGGAACCCGAGAGCAGCAATGTTTCTGTCCGGCACAAGCTTTGCTTTGGGAATGATGCGAGCAAGGAGGAGCAGAATTTGCAATTGTATCCAAGGAGGATACATCGTGTCTGCAATTTTGCACATAGGTGCCACAAGAACGGCCCCATTCCACAGACTTGGTTCTTTCAGATGAGCTCGCAGGGCGACAGCCCCTCCCATGGACTCACCGTAAAGAAAGCATGGCAGTCCTTTCAGCTCCTCGCGCTCTGCATGGGAGCATTTCACAATCACCAACGCTCTTCGTGGACTGAATTGCCAAATGTGATTGCTTCCAATCCTAATAAAAGTGTAGTTGGCATTATGCAAAGTGAATTGAAATACCTTTAATGGCGCGGTATTGCTCTATGACATCGTCCACAAGTTTGTGGAAATCGAGTATGTATCCATGCAAGCCTTCTGACATGCCAAAGCCGGGATAATCCATGCCAAACACAGCATATCCAGCTGACGCCAATGTTCGCGCCACGCCTACAACAATGCGTTGTGTGAAAACGTGCGTCTATGCTGCGAAAACGTACAGTCAAATAAAATAAAAGGAAAGGACCCCCCCCCCCACACACACACACACATATATATATATATATATATATATATATATTTCAACTAGAATTAGTCATCCTAAAGAAAAAAATGGAATACGAAAAAAAACTTTCGATGCCGTTTTCGGGCATTTAAGAGCATTTCTATTGATTTTAATTTTAAGCATTATCTAGAAGATGGGACAAAAGTGGAACCTTCATAACAATCTCTGCCAACACCTCCCATTTCATGTTTGTTTCAAAATAGTCACATGAGGCAATTTCAAAGTTTCTGCTTCAGGGTTTCGAGTGATCCCATAGAATTGACACGTAAACTGTACTCCTTTAAAGCGTTATACTGAAAGGAAGGTGAGACCCTCAACAACCTAGACAAGTCAAGGAACACAATCATACACTTGTTGTACCTTCAGCGTAATAGGTAATGGTATCGCCATAACCATGACACAAGAAAACAACGCCATGGAGCTGCTTCTGTGCAGGTATCCAACTCTTCACAAAAATCTCCTTGCCATCTGAGTTCAATACATATGTCTGCACCCGAGAAGCTGAGATATTATAGGAATAGAAGTCGGATACCGATAATCCACATTTCCTTTATCATTCCAGTAACAAAAATCCACGCAGATTTGAACAAGCTATCATTCTCCTAAGAGCGACTTACGTCAAGAGGAAAATCACTAGGGTGAAATTGATAATTCATTGATGAGATACTCTAAAATATAAAGTTTGTTCAAGCATTTGGTAGAATTCCATTGATAGCAGTAAACGAGTGCCCTGAAGCTCGGAAGCCTCAACAAGAACAGAACAACAACCGCATCAGAACTCGATACTCTAGACAGAATAGCAACTCTGGAGACAGAAGGTGAGAACAGGAATAAACTATACCTCTAAAACATTGAGGCCGTGTTCTTCGTCAATTTTCTGCCAATCCACACAGCAAGAGGCATGCAACTGAGCCAAACCGGTAGCAACTCGAACAATTCCGAAGGGATTTTATAGACCGTAATCCTGTTTTTGATCCGAGGTCATTGCTAGTGAAGCTGAATCAACAAGTTTTTCCCACTGACCGGCCATACTACCTGTTACCTCCTAATTTGCAGCGTCCACACGCTCATCGTCTCGCACGATAACGGCAACACATCGAAAGACAACGGAAACAAAAAAGGGAATGGGCTGTGCACATTGAAGTCGAAATTCTTATGCTTGCGGTAGAATTCTTGCCTCGCGAACCGTCGCTGCACTGCCGTGTCCAACAAGAGTCTCTCGCCTTTCACTGACCTCGCAGCAGAACGCCGCTCCTGCTTCTTGACCTCGTCAGATTCACTCTCTCTCCTGAGAAGCAGCCATGCCACAGCTGGGACGGACGCCACGGCCAGACCCCACAACGGCACCATCAGTACTAGAATCGACTAGACGTGAATCTGGCGGCGAGGCCAAAGTGCAGGACGCAACCAGCTTCAAGAAAGATCCCTCCCAGGAGCCACTCTATCAACACATCAATCCTTTGACATTCGCACCATCATCATCAAAAAGCTCGCATCCATTAGGGCCGATTCATGCGCGAATGGGGCATAAAACCGTCCCACTCGCTTCGGGTGGTGCCCAGTTGCACTTTAGGAATCCCTTCCTAGATTCTCGAGAAAACCAACCGAGCCACGATAGAAGTCGACGGGAGGTTTTCGGAGCTGATCCCAAACTCTGGACTCAGCAGTTGGGATTGTTCAAGTGCTAACGGTGGGTAGTTCCATGATCGTGTGCACGGATCCAGGCTCACCAACAACAATGAAAGTCCTCCATGCACCGCAGCTGGTCATCCTCGAGCAGATATCCGGGACGACGACGCGGTGATTTCGAAAGCCGCCGGTCTCGCTCGCTCGCTCCCTCGACGACGCAGCTGCTGCTGGTGCTGCAGCGCCCGGAAGCCGGGTTTGGGATCGTCGCTGCGGCTCGAACGACGTGATTCGAACCACGTTCTCACTCTCTTAGGTTTCGTTCCCAAGCTGTTGAACAACCATGACATCATCTTTGCCATGTCGGTTTTGCTTCTGGTTAAATATAACCCGTTCTTCACACTTCACGATTTTTACGAGTGGTTACATCTAGGCTTCTTATTGCCACGTGACTCTTAAAAAATAAACTATGATTTGTTAATATCATTACTTTTAAAAAACTAAAACCTACTGATTTGGTTGAAGTTAACTTGTGTAGGTATTGAGTACGTCTATTTTAAAAATGTGTGGTGTAAAGCATGAATGCACCCAATTCTGCGCTGCACCACGACAGTCAATAACGAATTTTATGCAAAAGACGAAGGGTTGTTAAGTCAAAGATAACACTACTCACAGGTAGGCAATCGAATTAAACATGAGAACAAACAAAAGAAAACACAAACTCATTAAAGGAACGAATATTGTCAAAAAATAAATTATAATTATTATTTCACACGTTCACTAGGTACAACTTTATCATTTTATGTGTCTAAAAGTATTTGATAGGTTGAAAATTAGACCAACAAGTTGGCCACATGTCGTACATATTGGCCATTTGTGATACAAGTTGGATTTATGGCATATAGATAAAAAAAAACTTATCTTACAAATTAGGCTTGTATCTCCTAATTGGACATGTGTAGGTCTTATAAAATATCACTATGTAGCTCTTAATTAGATAGTGTATATAGAAGCAAAAATGAAGCCTTCTTCAACTTGTCAACTTCTTTGTTGCTTTTAGTCTTGTTTCAAGAATCTCTAGTTTTTTAGTCTGTGATAATAATCATTTTAGTTTCTTCTTAAATATATATATATATATATATATATATATTCATTTTTCTTTGAGAAACACCTTTATTTATATTCTTTAAGTTTTTATCACCAACATTAAGTTTAATAATGTATTAAAATACAAGCTTCTAAACGAATGTTTATAAATTGTAGGCTACAACATTCATTTGGTATTAAAGACAAAACCTCCATAAAAAATCTTATACAATTTCATCTATATAAATTTGGTTTAAGTAACAAAATAATAAAATATATTCCTAAAAAAAAAATGCATGAAATAAAGTATATTATTTATTACAACAATTATTTTTAAAATATATATAGAGAAATACAAGAATGTATATTTATTATTGAAATTTTAATTTTTTTAACATAAAAATAGCTATGTATTTTCTAAAATATATAAATTTTAAAAAGACTATTATAATAAAGAAGTGAAAGATGCCAACAATATAAAAATATGTGAGATCTTTTACTAAAACTTACTAATTATTAAAAACAAACTTTACAAATATGGTTTTTTTTTTATAGTAGTAAGACTTTCATCCAACCTTCTAACAAAGAAAACAAAATCTTAAAATGTAATGAATTTCATTAAAAATATTTTCGAAATCTAAAGAATATCTTAGTTTTGTAAAGAATACTTAAGAATTTAAAATTTCACAAATCTTTTGAAATGCATTTTGATGATGGTAACTTTGTAATTAGAAGATTATGAATACAAGAAAGACGATTAATAGCATTTGTAAGGACGAGTTTGAACTAAAGAAATTTAAAATACTCTACTTGGTAAAAGAAATAATGTGGTGGTTTATTGCCTGGAAGCTAAAAGACATTATTTTGAACTTACTACAATGTTTACTAGTAATATTTTGTTAAACATTTTCATTCAAAAGTATGAGTTTCTCATAAGAGATCCCATTAGCATGATGTATTAGTTTAGACATGGAATTGATTCACTGTTCTTCATGTTAAAATCTTATTTTGGATGAACTAATCAAAAAAAAGTAGTACAACCAAACTTAGATGCATGGCACTTTGTCTTGGGACAAATGTGGTATACAGTAATGACTGCCTTTTTATAGTAACTAGACACTAGGTCCATGAGACCCAGAGGATTGGTCACTAAGACATACTGGGGTGGTACTCTCCATGCTTTCGTCAAGGTAGGACACTTAGAGTAGGGCTCTGACATGTGTGATCAATTATTGCTGTGCAAATTCAAATTGAAACTAGCATGGAATAAATGTAAGAGGTGCATGGGATGCTCATGCTAGTTGGAGGCTAAGAGCAAATAGAAAGGGTCGTCACACGCATTGCTATGTGAGAAATAGGGGTTCATGATGCTGGACCTAATCCGAAGCACCTGAATTCGGGTCTTAAACTTGCACACAAATGATTACAGCTATACAGCTGAGCCGAGCCGAGCCCACTGGCTAACACAATGCTACTTTAGTGGTTCATGTTACATCAAATTTGAAAATTTATTGTAAGCTCAGAGTCCAGGGTTTAGTGCTATGAAGGTTGTGTGCCACAGTTGAAAGATAACTGAGTCATGGAATGTCTTCGACGATGGAGAGAAATGAGGAACCTGAATCGCACTAAAGACTAATGCCACAAAAAATTAAATCCTTCTGGTGATAACTGTGAAATCAGGTTAGTGAGTTTTGAGCTTGATGCTCCCAAATTGCATACCCAAAAGCAAACACTTCAAAACGAACTTCGAAAGCTATTCTCAATGAGGGTGAATTCGAGACAATGCGAGTAAATGTGTATTCCATTTCCTTTGAGTGAGCGAATTTATCAAGGATAACTCCTCAGCAATCAAGGATAATTTAGGATGAAATGCATTCAACAGGCTGGCTAGACAATATTAATTGCACTTGAAGTCGAAGATGAAAGGTTAATAAGGAACCAGAGTTCAGGAGCATTTACCTCTGGACGAATACATCCTACAATAATAAGTCGAAGCTCCTCTCCATCGAAGTCCTCAGCAATGTCGTGAAGTATCCATGGCTCCTGCATGTTGTAAATACCATGAGAGTCATCGTTCGCCACTAAGAGCTGGTATTCTGTCCAGAAGTAAACAAAAGACTAGAAGTGTCTTGTTATTGAAGACTCAACCATAAGTGATTTGATTCCATGCGATGAATCGGCATAATTCAAGTCAGTTCGTGAGTCAGAGGAATTACTGTCGTTGATAGGAGGCAAGCCCCAGACTTCACACTGAAAGATCAGTAGGGAAGGTAATATCAAGTCAGCTGAAGAGTACAATAGAAAGGCATCCTTGGATGGCATAGAAGGGACGGCAACCACTTGCATTCCTGCAGCTTTACCTGCCACCACGCCCGCCCTGAGCAGCTCACACTACCTTTAGTCAGAGGACTATGAGACTATAACGACAACCTCAACATTAAGATGTCAACCAGCTTCGTCTCAAAGCACTCGAGTATTTCATCGAAGAAACATGTACAATGGAGCGAACAAAAGATAGACTTCAACAACTGCTCATGCAACACCGATGTTGTAAGTTGATGCTCTCAAGAGGCTAATGCTAGAAATGAACCAATATTGATATCATCGTTCTACATGCTTTCAGGTGGCTCTGATACTGCACTCTGTGAAATTACATAAACAACGTGTAAAATTAACTTGTGTCATCGTTTGCAGAACTTAGATAAAACTAGAAAATGAAATCAAGCTTACGGAGCATCTTCAATAACAAGACACTTGCTTGGCTCTGCATTGAGCCTCCTTGCTGCTTCTAGAAATCTGCAAACCATTACTAGGAAACAACATTAATCATCTATTGCATCATTTCACTAAAATACCCGGTAGCCGAATATCTGAAACTTGACCATATGAACTCTAAATTGAGCAGGAGAAACTAATAAACACCTATCACATGCCTGCTAGAAAGAGTAGGGAAACATCAAAATCTAAAAGAATAATATCGAGATCGCACATATCAGGAGCAGGCTTTCCATTCTTGACCATATCCCCAGCAACGACCACTGGAAAGTAGTCCGTCCAACCTGAAGCAAGAGATTAATCCTTGAGGCAATAGCCACAGGAATGCAATGGTCGTGCAAATGCTTCACTAGTCGAACGGCTCCAGGCAAAGGCCTCGCCCTCACCCATCTACAGGTTCAAGTTCAGGATCTACGTAGGTAAACAAACAATTAACAATCACATGTAACTCGTCATAAAAAGGTCATGTTGACATAGAAAAACCAATTTTCCACGCTGAGATGTTTACTCACAGTAAACTAATATATTTTTCTTTCCCTGAATAAGCAGCATAGCAACTTGCAATTTAGCAGATTAATTTCAGTAGGGAAGAATAATCAAAAACGGTTAAAACGGACCTAGATTGAAGTGATGCTACAACCTCATTGTTGAAATGAAGAGCACTACATGGCAGTTCGTAATCCTCGACGACAGATACTGATGCCTCCAAGGGCCGTTTGCCCAGTCGTTTCTGAGCACCCCTTCCATCCCATTCTTTCCCATAGCGGGCGACTACTTCTTCCAGTACTTCATCTACTAGCGACTCTGCAATCACATTTCGGGATTGTCTTGCCAGTCAGCAACCGAAAGGTTTTGTCAAAAAGAAGAAAAGAGCATTTTCAAATCAATTTCTAGAGGAAATGGCACTCTGCCCTTCAGTACAATATGCAGGTCGATGAGTGGAGAGGAGACACCATAAGCGACCTGACACTTCAGCAATGTGTAGTAGAACCCTATTTGCATGTCAGCTTGATCTATTGTTGAAGTAATACTGCTCAGAAAGCCAAGGGGCGAAGATGTACAAACCCAATTTTAACTTAACAGTCAATGCAGGGATTCTTATACAAATTCTATCCCCAGAAAAAGGATTCAATCTAAATAGTCAATTGAGGGGCTGTTATGAGCTACATTGTCCCCGAGCTTTTTACGATGTCGGGCAAGAAGCAATTCAAACTAACACAAAACACCCCCCCCCCCCCCCCCCCAAAAAAAAAAAACCCCTAAACCCTAAACCTGGTCACGAACCTGTGTCCAGCAAAGTGCCGTCCAAGTCGAATATAACGTGAGAGACATGAGAGAACGTCTTCGAGAGTTGCTCTCGAGGAACACACGCATCAATGTCCTTACCAGCCATGAACTCGGGTCACAAACAGAATAATGTGTCTGCAATGACTTGACGGCTAGCTGTGTGATCCCACCATCGCATGTGAGAACAACGATGCTGTGGGAAAACCCTCGAGTACTTTTCGGATTGGGAAGATAATCTGGATCGCCAGGACGTGGAGTTCCAGGCAATTTTGTCATGTTCTTGAGTATAAATATCCAATGTTTTTGTATTTGTTGAAGTTTCATCTTTTTACTACTGAGAAATGAAAAATGACCAGAAGCACCAGAAGCTGCAGCTACTTGGAGGGGTCCACACGGGAAACCACCAGGTGGAATTGGTGTGACTAGTGAAAAGAAATGCCCAAGGGTGGTGATTTAGCATCAAGGAACTGCTACCAGTCTTTTTTGATTTGGAATCGGCCGTGGTTTGCCATATTTACTCGAACAAAGGCGAGGTATCAACATACTTACGAAAATAGAGTGCGCGTCATCATGTGAGTTCATCCTTAGATTGCTTGGTTGGTCGTATAAAACGTCTTACATTCCTTGTAATGGGAAGGATCAAAGTTTCGATTCGACTCGGCATCTGTCAAATGATTACAAATATATCTACATACAGTGAATTGTTCTCCCGACTCTTCTAAGAATTATGAAATGAGACTAGTGTGTGGTTGAGAGTGAAGACTGCGACCATGCACGGCAAGTGATTGCTCAGCCTCAAGCTCTACATAGAAAGTTCTTCGAGAGTGAAAGAATGCGCGTCAAGGATGCTATTACCCATGAAGTCTGTCTCTTAGCGAAACAACTAATTTCGGCGGACACTTTGTGCACAAACACATCGTATAGTACAGAAGCTCAAAAAGTCACAGAAATGGCTACCCAACAGCAACCACATTGGTGGTAGGCATTTGGCCATTACCGAGCTTTGCACGACCTTGTTGGAGGAACTTTGTCACTTTGTATCACCACGGTATATGAAAAAGAGGAATATCGTCCAAAAAAAGAGATTCTCTAACTCCCAGCTGCACATGAAAACAATACCATGTCACAATGAATTCACTCAAAGAAAACTACCTCGCAAATACAGTTCGCAGCAAATACAAATATTTTGAAGGATAGGAACTACGCACGATGCTTGTCTGGAATGTCGACATGAACAAAGAAGCTGGCACCAACTATCAAGTAGCAAAGAATCAGCATTAAACCCTTAAAATAATTTGCAGTACCCTCCTGTCACATTCATATACGAATAGATGTTAGTGTTGCAAAAAGCAAGAGCATGCTTACAAGATAGCCAAAAACCTTGCATTTTTATCAGCTTCTATGCAAGGCGGGAAGCAGCACTGAAAGATTACCTGAAGCATCAAAGCAACCACTAGAACTGTTATGAATAGTGTCGCAGTTTCAAACAGTTCAAAGTTGAGGTCCATATGCGTTCTCATAGGCCACCCGATCACTACACAAAATGGAATCTGGACAAAAGCATTGCATCAGGTTAATAAGCCTCTGCTTGCAGAAGTAAAAAAATATTATGCCAAGAGCTTAGTATATAACATGAAAGGCTTGATGCAACTTACCACAAACATGGAGATCTGAGTGGAAGAACCGATGGCCACCCCAAGCGAGATATCCTGGCAGTGAGTAAAATGATCATAGAGTTGTAAGATAAAAACCAGGCCAAATATTTCCAGAAAACATAGTCGATTACTGACGGCCGGCAAAGTGACGAGTTATTCAGTAGAACTTCAAAACATTGACCTCAAATAAATATTAAGTTGCTGTCCGGTCGTCCTTGCAAAGAGAGTGATATTTTCAAAAAAGACCATCATGAGAAGACATACCAGCTTGTCTTTGAGAGCAAACATAATAGCACTCGCATGTTCTGCGGCGTTTCCAACAATTGGCAATATGATCACGCTTATAAATGCAATGGGTACGTTCCATGCAGTTGAAGCACCCTACACACCATGTAACAAACGCAAGGTTCAGAAAGAAAAAATAAATTGAAAACATTTAGGACACGACCTTCAAAACCAAGGCCCAAGAGCAGCTTTCGATTTGAAAGATCTCTTTGGAAGGTTCGCTATCTATAACTATCGGCTCCCATTGAAAATATGCGTATAGAACCACAAGTAGCAATAAGGATGGTCTGTACAATTCACTTTAATTTTAAACTAAATCGCACCAGTAGGCAACCTGAGTGCCCACAACAGTTGCAGGTGTGATTACATTGAAAGTAGTAACGAAGTCAAAAGCATACCTCGATTGCATCAACCAAATATTCCGACAGTATGGAGATAAAGAGAGTCAAAATAGTAAGCCAGCCAATTGAAGTCCAAAAACCTAGCAGAACCTCATCCTCGTCAGAATCACCATCATTTTCTACCGCATCCTGTTAGCGAAAACACAAACAAAGATTTGTTTCAACATCACATTCAGGTGACGAGTTATATGCACACGAAGCAGAGATAATTCAGTCAACAACACAACTGCATTCAAAAAACGATAATATATCAAATAAACAAATAACCGTTCTAATATAGAAACTAGAAGTTGCGGAAAACATCACTCATCAGTGTTTGGAAGATAAAAAAAATAAAAAATAAAAATGACGGCAATCTTTCTCCCACCTCTGAATCATAAAGCAATCTGTGACTCTTTAGTTGGAAGTACAAATAGGAAATGTAGGCCACCAACATGACAATGCTGCTGAATCTCGACAAAACGAGCTCCGACTTTCCAATTTGCAGCTCAGTACCAGTGGCATGAAGAACGGCAGGAAATAGGAGACCCATGACTGCCATCAATAACAAGCTTGCGCTGACCTGGGCCGTAACCTGCAATGGATGATAGCCATACATCATTAGTGATCACATAATGTGAGAAGATCATTGAGAAAATAACCCAGCGCAGAGAGGGTGTACTGAAAACAAAATAAATACTACAGTATATTCTCCCAAAGGACGTGATCCCAAAAATGAATCAACATCTACAGTGCAAATACCTTGTTGAACTTCTGATCTTTATGTGGATGTTTAAGACCCCCAAAGTAAAATGCGCATCCCAACACCAGCAACATGTTGGAAAGTATGGAACCAAGTAGAGATAACTGTACAACTCGTATCATTTTCTTCCGTAACGCCATTATGCATATGATCATTTCCGTCGCATTTCCAAAAGTCGCATTCAGGAGACCTCCAACTGGAAATGAAAAATAAAGTCAACATCCTCGATAATAATAATAAGTATAACAGATCATTCGAATCTGTTATCTGTTAAAGGTGCTTACAATTCACATTGAACACGAACTACACGTACAGAAGTTAATGTCAATGCGAAACTTGAGTTTCCGAAAACAAGGATCGATTTTGAACTTCAGAATTATCAGCATTAATGAGTTCCAATTCGAAAAACTATAGGAACTTCAACCCATCATACTCCGTTAAGCTGCAATGTTCCAACACCAAGAATTACCTGTCGAACCAGTGTAAAAGGCCAGTTGTCTGCAAACACCAGCAGAACGTTTGATTAAGATGTTTCAAAACAAATCGGACTATTCGTCAACCGCCATTTTGGTCCTAGACCTTGCTTCTCAAAATGAGATAAACATATACCACACACGCTTGCTATAACTTGTGTGTGTGTGTGACATTGAACAGCCACAATAAATACGATTAAATGTTCATCCACAAATCCCTGTTGCCGTAAAACTCTGGAAATTAAAAGTATAACATTGAAAATGAAACATAAACGCAAGGAGTACAGCAACTCACTCGGTGACAAAGCCCAGTCGCTCAGCCAAGGGAGCCATTCCTAGTAAACTAAGTACAAAAACCCAGCCCTGGAGAAGAAAAGTAACTGTGTCTTAGTATGCTCTATGTTACAGACACTACTATTTTTACTCACTGAGATGATGTTTTCTCTGCAGTGCATGAATTTAAGACTTCGGTAAAATCAACTAGCATTCAAGTCAAAAGCTGAACAAAACGTGACAGAAAACAGTAGCTGAAAATGATGAAATTAAGCAGTGTAGGATGGAAGGCAATCGGCAAACACACAAGCTCTCATAAACTTGTAGTGGAGAGCAAGACGACCAGACTAACAAGCCGACCGAGCGGAGGCATTCATTGGGCTTACATGTCCGAACAGCCCTTGGCCACCGATTAACGCCATTGGAACGCATAGCATCAGCCAATTCAGCTTTGTCCCAAACAATACAGGACAAATACTCCTAGATATACAAGTTAACAATCTGCTCATCCGGCATCTTAGCCTGTTCCTCCTGTTGCAGCAGGAGCCCATCATTGCATCATTCCGATAGCTGTCATTTCTGAGTAACGTTGAGTCTGAGGGTGGTGAAGCCCCTTCCACTAGAGCCATTAGCTGCAGAAATACACAAACAATGCATAGAAGAGATGAGATAGTGCAAAAATTCAATCACCCTGGCTAATTGCTCGTACAGAAAAGCCTTCAATTGCAATTTTCTGAAACACAAAATGTGGGTGATGTTACAGCCTCTAAGCTCCAAAAACTTCACTCGAATGTGAGCTCGGAAAATTGCTCAAGAAAAGAAGCGTACAGAGATGCATACAGAATCGAATCACCTCAAGATCTGTACGTCCGTTCTGATGAATGTCGTTTTTTGGCGTTCCGGTGTAATCCTCCATAACCGACTACCCAAATCTCCCTGCTGCTTCAAACCCTAATCCACGTACAGGAGCACCTGGGTTCTCGCAGCTATCAATCGGGCTTATATTACGAGGCACTTATACCAACCAAGGCTTAGAATATTTCTTAGAAAACAAAAAGTTACTTCCTTTGAACAAGTGTAAGGAAGTTCCTCATTAAGATATACTCCCTGCATTTGCGTTCCTGCAACTTGCTGTGCGTGAGTCCTTTGCAATGGAGGCGAAAACGATACACAGATGATTGTAATTAGGCCAGTTTTGAGTGGATTAACGCCATCTCGACCTGGGCTGAAAACCAACTAATTAACAGGCTTCCAGACACGATTTGAGTCCAATTTCCAAAGGTCCTCCGTCAAATACCATCCCTTGAGTCCATCCTGATGCCCAAATTGAAACTTAGCGTGAAGACCTCTCTACTAGAAACCCACTCTGCTAATTACTCACTTCAACCTTAGAGCAGAGGTACCACTGCATACACGATGTTTGCAGAGCCGCAAAGTGGCAGATCCGATCTAAACACCAATAACAGATTTTGAAAAGGCTGTGATCCAAAGAGCTAACAACATCAGTAAATTGAATGACAGACATGAAGTTTAGACTAACTCCCTGATGGTTCTAACCCCTACAACATCGTAATAACAAGCTCCGTTCATGAGGTCGAGACACATGTACCAAGCCACACGTGCCACACCACAGAAACTAAGAAGCTCTCAGTTTCCTACCTTCACAAGCTAGGAAACTGAGAGCTTCAAAAAATGCGAGAGTTCTAATCACAGCGGCCTACCATACAATCTACGTTCTGAAGGTTAATCTTCCCAATAGTACTAAGCTCCCAGTACCTTTCTAGAGCACGAATACAACCATCAACATGGACATAAAAAATTCGAGCTCCCCGTCTCTCACCGACAAGAACCCAAATCTTTCACGTTAACACCAAAAAATGCCAAACAGAGAGCAAAATTTCTCCCTCGGCACTCACCAAACCTGTGACATCAAACAGAAGAAAGCCATCTCCTGAAGAAGCAAACGAGCAAAACCCAGTTCCCAAGAAGGAAAAAAACATCGATCTCCCCAACTTACCTGCCAATCAAACTCCTCTTGCTTCAAGCTGCGACTATTCATTGAGCAACACAACAACACAGTTCCCTCCTAAACTCCCATACAGTCAAACCGCGCCCTGAAACTCATGCGACGAGGAGGTCTGCTGCCAAAATGCAACTGTTCATGGAACTGGCTGGCAGTCGAAAAACAGGACTTGCAAACTCTCTGAGATTATATCCCTTGATAATTCACTTTCTGCGAAGAATCGCTTAGGATCTCCCAGTATCAGTCCCAGGCAATAGGAGGTGCAAGGATGCTTCCTTGTACACCCCCCTCACTGCTGCTTCTGCACATGCAACGAAGTTTCCTGGCCCGGCGACCCGTTCTCTCGGTGGGCGACTTTCGCAACTGGATGCCGTCCAGTGCAATCCACGTTTATCCTTCACCCATCACGCAGCGCGGGTGACAATTGCTACTACTGCGAAATAGGTTGCGGCATACAGAAAAAGTTGGAATCCATTGGAGAACGAAACAACTCCCGAACGATGCCCTATTGGATAGATATGATATCTATACAGTAATCACCATGACTAAAATCGACGAACCGCCTTTTCATCTTAATACATACAAACACATGGAAAAAAAGAATGTTGAGAAAATACAACAATATTGGAACCCTACATTCGTACCGTAGTCTCCAGCTTTGAACGCTGAGCCCATCTTCAGATAAACTAGAACGGGAAACCTAGGATTCTGTAGTGTACAAATATCGGCCGTAATGTATAAATACAGACGCTCAGAGACGTTGTTTACGTGTTCAACAATCAAGCCCAATGAGTAGGAGGAAGACGTCGAATCAGCGAGGAGGTTCAAATGCCCATCGAACCAGGCAAGCAGTCATGGATGCAAACATCACGTGTTCAGAACTTGAATAACAGTTTTTCAGTTCGAGTTGCGGAGTGAAATCATCGCCACCACAATGATGTTGTTGACCGCTGAGGTCCCATGCTGAACTATTCTTATCAGTACTGTTGAAACATAGTTCGTCAACTTGCTCCTGAATAACCCAGGCTATGCTTTCTTCTGTACCCATCACATAATGCAACAAAATTCACTCTATTTAAGAATTCGGTCACGGCAGAGTAAAGAGGAAGGGGCTGTCGATGTAGTGACAAAATCATTGTAGTCTATCTGGAATAAACAGCTTACACATAGACGAGGGAGTTGCAATCATCAGCACATGATCAAGAGGATAAAAATGAATACTGGTCTTCATTTGTGACGCAAGTTGCGTGATACATAATCACCGTGATCAATTAAAAGGAGATCATTGATGTGAGTAGAGAAGAATTGAAGTGGACTATCTTGCATTTGCCGATAACTGTAGGGTAATCAATCGCTAGCACATACTGTTGCCCTATACGTACAACGTTACCAAGATTCATCCGGTGCAGCTACGTGGGAATTTGTGCTGTTGATTTAGTTCGATTTACCCACGCAGCAACTCATGTTTGATAATGCTGCATGTGCTGAGTAATCACCCACAGTGGCAGATGGAGGATGCTATAGAACTGTTGTGAGCAGACAAAATCAGGTCGGCGAGGACAAAAAAATTAGGTTAACTCCCAGCAGGATAAAAATCCCGTTACATTTTCGGAACTCCTTCCAGAGAGGCAGGCCTAACACAGGAAGAAAAGCTGAAGTATTGGCGCACAGATAATTGTGAAAAGGTAGAGGATCGGTTTCCACCAAAAAAATAAACAAATTGAGAAGATAACGACATGTATGTTTCTATTGGTAACCAACACGATGCAAGGGTATTGGCATTTGACAAATACAGAAATAATGGCTAATATAAACTAAATTAAACAAATTCTTCCACAAGAGAACGACGAGTAAAAGAAAAGCTGAGCCAATTTGTTTCAACTTAACGAAGCACTAAAACTAACCTAATTAAATAATAACATATTTGTACAAACTTAATAGTCTTCAAAAGACACCAACAACTAGTTCAGGAAGCAATCTCCATTGTAACCATACATATTAAGTACATATAAGCACTAGTATACATTCTAATTCGAGTCCATTTATATCAACAAAAGCAATAATTGCATGTGGGGGGATGGGCAGACAAGCGGGTCTCACATTCCTGCGAGACCAGGCATGGATGTCAAGTCAAGTCAACTCTACTCTACTCTTCGACTCCGTCTCTTTGGCTGGCCAGGTCTGTGCAACGTGATGGCTTGTGGCGCTTAGCTCGGCTCAGCTGCGTGTTTGTTCGGGGTTCTCATTGCGACTTCATGGCATGCGAGCCTAACCCGCTAGATGCTCGACTCTCTGTGTGTGCTTTCAGCGAAATTTGTGTGTTCTGAATGCTAATGCCGGCGTAGTTCACAGAATCGCGTTCTACACTGGGGTTGCAGTCCTTCAGTGCAACGGCAGATGGCAGCAACATATTGCGAAGCCAGAGACGGAGGCAAGCATGTGTGGCGCCGAGCCAACCACGAGCGTGATGTGTGGTTGCGAGACTCGCGGGGCGAAATTGGAAGTGTGGGTGTGGGTGTGCGCGCGCGTTGTTGAAGTGAGAGCGGGTGCAGTGGCAGTGATGGGATTGTGAGGCTTGGTTGTTGGGTCGCAGGATGTTGTTTGCATGCAACAGGCAAATGCGTGAGGATGTGTTTCCGTGGTTTGGTATAAAGGAGGCCAGCATGGCTGAAGATGTGATCCGGAGTGACGGAGAAGAGGGGTGAAATTGTGTGTTTCCACGATGTGAATGTGGAGGGGGTGACAACGGCGGTGGAGAGGTAGGCAGGCAGGCAGCGTAGGGACCAGTTGGTGCGGCGTATGGATGCGAGGGGATGGAGGGGGGAGGGGAGAAGGAGAAGTGCAGACCCACATGGATTGGAGGGAGATGTTGAGGCAGTTATATAATGTGGCGATGCTACATCTCCTGTTGTCTCTTCGGAGACATCTGATAAAATTGGAACGATACAGAGAAGATTAGCATGGCCCCTGCGCAAGGATGACACGCACAAATCGAGAAATGGTCTAAATTTTTTTCTCTCTCCTCGTCTGCAAAGTCATCTTTATTTTTTGTTTTTATTTATTTTTTAATATATCATGGCCATAAGCAAATATACACTGCTGCTCATGAATTTCCATCTCCCGAGTTGCTCTCAAGCATCATTAATTTTGTAAGTACATCCCACTCTTTAGAACAGATAATGAATCAACTTTCAATGCCAATTTTTAACATTTCATTTAGCACTAAATTCATTTGTCTCCACTCTTAATACAAGATTCTAGAATTCTATGTGCTCAAGAAAATCACAAGGCTATGTGATCTATCAATACATGTTTTTATCTATTGTATTATTTTGTAGAATTAGCCATCTAAAATTGAATAATAATGGATTTATAGAAAATAATGTAATTAATCTAAAAAATAGTTGTGGTGGAGATTTAAGAGATTCTTTTGTAGTCTATTTCCTATTATTATTATTTTGTATAAAGGGCCTCAATTGTTTCAAGTCATTAAAATTATGTCTAAATATTAAATAGACTTACTTTTTTACTAAATCAATCCACTTTATTTGAACCATCATTAAAACCATCATTTCCAACCCTTGCTCTTTTTGTTCCTAGCTCTCATCTTGACCTCCTATTTCCACTCATAGGTTTTGTTGTTGTATTGTAAAACAAAAGGATTAATACAAATTTGTGTGTTTTACCATATGGTGCAATGAAGCTGCACCAATGGATGGAGGAAGAAAAGGAGAGGGGGAGAGGAAGATGATGTGTGGATGTTGTAATATTGAGCATGAGACAAGACCTTTTGAAAAGCTAGTTGCAAACAATGCAACATATAAATCATGTCTTTTATAGTGTTTTGATAAAGGCCAAGTCCTAGATTCTTAATATTGTGAATTCATGTAGAAGCAGATACAAACAGATACAGACACATATATACACATACACCTTGAAGTTGCAATTAAAAGCAAAACTTCTTAGTTTGAGTGATCTAATTGGCATGTGTCACGGATATACATAGGTACTCTAATAAATATCTATATGATTGGGTCGAAGTAGATAAAAGTAGATAAAAATAAATTAATTTCATAATACCTTCTAAAAAAGCTTCTTAGAAGCTTCATAGATGTTGCTTTGACTTTACATGTATTTGTAGTTGATTGGTAGGTTAGAAACTTGATCAACAAATTAACTACGTGTTGGTAGCTTGCGGAACAAGCTAACTATGTGGCGTACATATAAAAAACTTACCTTACAAGTTAAGATACGTGTCTTGCAAAGTCAACACGCTTTGGAGGTCTTATAGGACATCACCACATAGCTCCTAGTTAAGAGTATATATGGAGGCAAGAATATAGTTTTTTTTTACTCTTGTCAACGCCTTTCTAGTCCTTAGTCTTATTTCAAGACTTTCTAGTCTTATTGTTTTTGGCAATAGACATTCTAGTTCAATATTATATCATCTTTGAATGACTTTCTAGTTCCTTTCAGTGACACAAGAATGTATTGAGGATTTTTTTTTTTCAAGATTCATGTCTTTGATAATTTGTCAAGAGTGCTAACTTACTATTTTTATCTTATTTTAGAAGTGAATGGATTACTTGATTTTTATTGTTGTATTTTGAAGATTGCGGACTATCAACCTTTTAACAAAAAATCTTATTTTCTAACATTGATCTTTTTTGAAAGAAAGTGAATTACTCTTCTTTGTAGAAATTTTCATTTGATATTAGATGTTGCAGATTACTTTCTTTTGATTTAACTTTTTGAATTTGTTTGAGTTGCCTATAGAAAAAAAGATTATTGATGCTACTCTTAGCAGAAGTAAAAATAGATTTATAACTTTTGTAAGTCTTATAAGCTTTTGAATACTCTAAGAGTAATAATTTCATATATTTCCATCGTGAATTATGGAGGTACTATGTGTATGCCTATAGAAGAAGTTCAGAGTCTGCAGCAAGAAGTTATATAGTTGAAAGAAGCAAGTTGATCAACTTGGCAAGCAAATTTAAGGATTTTTGCTTCTATAAGTATGATGAGGATAAAGATTAGTATCCTATAAAAGTTTAATGGAATAACTTCAAAATTTCAAAGATTTCTGTAATAAGTCAAGCTCTATCTAAGGTTAAATCATTTTTCCTACTCAAGAGGATTTAATCAACTCAGATTCATAGACGCACTTCTATCGAGAATTAATCTCTCTTGGTTTGCACATTTAATGAAAAAAAGATTTGCAACTGCATTATGATTTGAATTCATTCTTAGAAGTATTTATGACAATATTCATAGAAAGTATTAAAAAAAGAATAGCAAAGACCAAATTCTTGTCTTTATGGCGAAGATCACGGTCAAGCTCCATATATGCTACTAAATTTCAAAGCCTAGCTTGCGACATGGATTGGAATCATAAAGCCTTTGGCA